GGCAGGGACACTGGGGATGGTAGAACAGGGACACTGGGACATTGGGGACAGCAGGACATGGACAGTGAGGACAGCAGGGGTGGCAGCACAGGGACACCGGGGACAGCAGGACAGGGACACTGGGACACTGCAGGTGGCAGCAAAGGGACACTGGGGGTGGCACAGGGGTCCTGGTGTCACCTCCTCCGCCAGCGCCTTGGCCTCGGCCTCGGTGTGGGTGACGCCGATGAGGTTCCGGAAAGCCAAATACTCCATGGAGTGACAGGCAGAGCACACCTGGCGGTACACCTGGAACCCCCTGCGGACACTGCGGGACAGACGGACACCAAAATCACCCCAAAATCACCCCAAAATTACCCCAAACACACCTGGCGGTACACCTGGAACCCCCTGCGGACACTGCGGGACAGACGGACACCAAAATCACCCCAAAATCACCCCAAAATCACCCCAAAACAACCCTAACACACCTGGCGGTACACCTGGAACCCCCTGCGGACACTGCGGGACAGACGGACACCAAAATCACCCCAAAATCACCCCAAAATTACCCCAAACACACCTGGGGGTACACCTGGAACCCCCTGCGGACACTGCGGGACAGACGGACACCAAAATCACCCCAAAATCACCCCAAAATCACCCCAGAAACCTCAAACACACCTGGGGGTACACCTGGAACCCCCTACGGACACTGCGGGACAGACGGACACCAAAATTACCCCAAAATTACCCCAAAAACCCCAAACACACCTGGTGGTACACCTGGAACCCCCTGCAGATAACGGGGGACAAACAGACCCCAAAATTATCCCAAAACAACCCCAAAATCCCCAAACACACCTGGCGGTACACCTGGAACCCCCTGTGGATACTGGGGGATAAACAGACCCCAAAATCATCCCAAAATTACCCCAAACACACCTGGCGGTACACCTGGAACCCCCTGTGGATACTGGGGGGACAGGAGGGGTTACAGACCCCAAAATCACCCCAGAAACCCCAAAATCACCCCAAACACACCTGGAACCCCTGTGGACACCATGGGGACACAGTGGGGTTACAGACCCCAAAAATCCCAAAATGACCCCAAAACACACCGGGAACACTCTGCACAAACTTCAGGGGTACAGACCCCAAAAATCCCAAAATGACCCCAAAACACACTGGAACACCCTGTGCAAATTTCAGGGGTACAGACCCCAAAAGCCCCAAAATGACCCCAAAACACACCTGGAACCACCCCCAAGCACACTGAGGGGACAGGGGCTCAGACCCTCCAGGAATCCCCCAGCGACCCCAAATCCCCACAGGGACCCCAAATCCCCCCAGCCCCATTACCTGCTGTGCCCCAGAGACCCCAAATCCCCGTAGAGACCCCAAATCCCTGTAAAGACCCCAAATCCCCCCAGCCCCATTACCTGCTGTGCTCCAGGGACCCCAAATCTCCCCAGGACCCCCCAATTTCCCCATTTTTCCCATACCTGGCGTGGTCCAACGCAGACAGGAACCCCCAAACCCCCCCAGATTTTCCCCAGTTTCCCCATTTTTTCCCATTTTTCCCATACCTGGCGTGGTCCAGGGCTGACAGGGACCCCCAGGACCCCCCCAATTTCCCCATTTTCCCCCATTTTTCCCAATTTCCCATACCTGGCGTGGTCCAGGGCTGACAGGGACCCCCAAACCCCCCCAATTTCCCCATTTTCCCCCATTTTTTCCCATTTTTTCCCATACCTGGCATGGTCCAGAGCAGACAGGGACCTCCAAACCCCCCCAGGACCCCCCAATTTCCCCATTTTTCCCCATTTTTCCCCCATTTTCCCTCACCTGGCGTGGTCCAGCGCTGACAGGGACCCCCAAACCCCCCCATTTTTCCCATTTTCCCCCATTTTTCCCCCAATTTCCCTCACCTGGCATGGTCCAGCGCTGACAGGGACCCCCAAACCCCCCCAATTTCCCCATTTTTCCCCATTTTTCCCCCAATTTCCCTCACCTGGCGTGGTCCAGCGCTGACAGGGACCCCACAAACCCCCCCAGGACCCCCCAATTTCCCCATTTTTCCCCATTTTTCCCCATTTTCCCTCACCTGGCGTGGTCCAGCACTGACAGGGACCCCCAAACCCCCCCAATTTCCCCATTTTTCCCCATTTTTCCCCCATTTTCCCATACCTGGCGTGGTCCAGCGCTGACAGGGACCCCCAAATCCCCCCAGGACCCCCCAATTTCCCCATTTTTCCCCCATTTCCCTCACCTGGCGTGGTCCAGGGCTGACAGGGACCCCCAGGACCCCCCCAATTTCCCCATTTTCCCCCATTTTTCCCCCAATTTCCCTCACCTGGCGTGGTCCAGCGCTGACAGGAAGCCGCCATGGCTCCAGGGCAGGTTCGGGGGGTGCAGCTCCAGCTCCCCCGCGCTCACGGGGCCCCCCCCGAGGGACAGGGACAGGGCCACAGCCAGGGACCCCCCCCCGGCCAGCGCCCCCAGCACGGCCAGGGACCACCGGGAACGGGGACGGCCCGGGAACGACGACAGCGACACCTGGGGGGGACAGGGACAGGTGAGGGACACCTGGGGGGACACAGGGACAGGTGAGGGACACCTGGGGGGGACAAAGGGACACCTGGGGGGGACACAGGGACAGGTGAGGGACACCTGGGGGGGACACAGGGATACCTGGGGGACACACAGGGACAGGTGAGGGACACCTGGGGGGGGACACAGGGACACCTGGGGGGGACACAGGGACAGGTGAGGGACACCTGGGGGGGGACACAGGGACAGGTGAGGGACACCTGGGAGAGGACACAGGGACAGGTGAGGGACACCTGGGGGGACACAGGGATACCTGGGGGGACACAGGGACAGGTGAGGGACACCTTGGGGGGGACAGGGACAGGTGAGGGACACCTGGAGGGACACAGGGACAGGTGAGGGACACCTGGGGGGACACAGGGACAGGTGAGGGACACCTAGGGGGGACACAGGGACAGGTGAGGGACACCTGGGGGGACACAGGGACAGGTGAGGGACACAGGGACAGGTGAGGGACACCTGGGGGGGACACAGGGACAGGTGAGGGACACCTGGGGACACAGGGACAGGTGAGGGACACCTGGGGGGGGACAGGGACAGGGGAGGGACACCTGGGGGGGGGACAGGGGAGGGACACCTGGGGGGGGGACAGGGACAGGTGAGGGACACCTGGGGGGACACAGGGACAGGGGAGGGACACCTGGGGGGGGGACAGGGGAGGGACACCTGGGGGGGGGGACAGGGGAGGGACACCTGGGGGGGACACAGGGACAGGTGAGGGACACCTGGGGGGACACAGGGACAGGGGAGGGACACCTGGGGGGGGGACAGGGACACCTGGGGGGGACACAGGGACAGGTGAGGGACACCTGGGGGGACACAGGGACACCTGGGGGGGGACACAGGGACAGGTGAGGGACACCTGGGGGGGACAGGGACAGGTGAGGGACACCTGGGGGGACACGGACACGGACACGTGGGGTGTGACAGTGAGACCGGGGTGGGGACAGGGGCTCCAGGGACCCCAAGGCTCGGGGAGGACAAAAGCAATGGGGGGGTCCTGGGGACAGCGGGAATACCGGGAACAGCGGGAATAACGGGAATGGGAACAGCGGGAACACCGGGGATGGTGGGAATAGCGGGAACACCGGAATTACCGGGAACGGGAACAGCGGGAGCAGTGGGAATACCGGAATTACCGGGAACAGAAACAGTGGGAATACCGGGAATAGCGGGGATACCGGAATTACCGGGAACGGGGATAGCGAGGATACTGGAATTACCGGGAACGGGAACAGTGGGAATACCGGGGATACCGGGAACAGAAACAGGGGGAGCAGCGGGAACACCGGGGATGGCGGGAATACCGGAATTACCGGGAACGGGAACAGTGGGAATACCGGGAATAGCGGGGATACCGGAATTCCCAGGAGCGGGGATAGCGGGGATACCGGAATTCCCGAGAACAGGAATAGCGGGAGTACCGGGGATACCGGAATTAGCGGGAGCAGCGCGAAGGGCGGGCAGAGGGCACCGCGGGCACGCTGGGAGGCACCGGGGACACCGGGCACCATGCGGGGACAGCTGCCGGGGACACCGCGGGGAACGGGAGAACCGGGGGCACCAGGAACCGGGAGGGGTAACGGGAACGCCTGAGCACGACGGGCAAAGGAACCGGGGGCACCGTGCGGGGCTCGGGCAGGAACCGGGGGCACCGGGAACCGGGAAGGGCTCGGAAGCACCGGGCACACCGGGGCAAGCACCGACAGCCCCCAGGCAGGGCCGATGAGCACCGGGAACCGGGAGGGGCCGGGAGCGGAACCGGGAGCACGTGCAGGGCTCGGAAGCACCGGGCACACCGGGGCAAGCACTGATAGTCTCCAGGAAGCCCCGGGGAGCACTGGGAACCGGGAGGGGCCGGGAATGGAACCGCGGACACCGGGAAGCCAGAGGGGCCGGGAGTGGAACCGGGGGCACCGGGAACCGGGAGCACCATGGGGGGGCTCGGGCACACTGGGGCAGGCACCGAGGAGCACCAGGAACCCAGAGGGGTCGGGGGTGGAACCGGGGGCACCGGGAACCGGGAGGGGCCGGGAGCGGAACGGGGGCATCGTGCAGGGCTCGGAAGCACCGGGCACACCGGGGCAGGCACCGAGAGCCCCCAGGCAGCCCCGGTGAGCCCCGGGCAGGGCAGCTCCAGGCCCCGAGGCCGCGCGGTGCCCTCAGCGGGGCCGTGACCTTGGCGGGGCCGCACTCACCGTGCTGGGGCCGTGTGCGGGGCCGCGGTCGGGGCGCAGCAGCGCGCGGGGGGGAGCCGGGCCGGGCCGCGCCGGGCCCGGGAGCAGCCGCAGCCCCGGGAGGCCCCGCAGGCCCCGCAGCGCCGCCATCGCCGAGGTCGAGGGGACGCGCCGCGACGCCCCGGAAGTGACGTGAGGGGAGGGACGGAGTGACGTCACGGGACAGGCACGTGACACGGTAACGGTTTTTATTGCGGCGCCCCCTGGCGGAGGGAGGGGGAGGAGCACGGGGATAGACCACGCCCACTCGGAAAACCGAACACGCCCCCGAACAAAACCCACGCCTGATAACAAAACCACGGCCCTGCAAAAGCCACGCCCCTTAAGAAACCACGCCTCCATGCAGAGACACGCCAATTAACAAAAGCTGAGCCCATTAACAAACTATGTAAGGCACGCCCATTAACAAAGCCGCGCCCCTTAACGGATCACACCCCTGCACATAAGCCACGCCCATTAACAGACCACCACCCTGCACAAAAGCCACGCCCATTAACAAGCCACGCCTGTTGACAAACCACACCCCTTGCACATAAGCCACGCCCATTAACAAAACACGTCTTCCGTATAAGACCCGCCCATTAACAAAAGCCACGCCCATTAACAAACCACACCTCTCCGCATCAGACACGCCCATTCATAAAACCACGCCCTCCACAGAAGCCACACCCAACATCAAACCGCGCCCCGACAGAGCCACGCCCCTTTAGGCCCCCATTGCGGGGGTCGTCCCGGTGGGCGGGGTCACAGCAGGGTCACACCTGGGCGGTCTGTCTGGGCATCTGTCCGTGTGTCCATCTGGGGCTCCGTCTGTGGGTCCCTTTGGGGGTCAGGCTGTGTGTCTGTCTGTGTGTCTGTCCATGTGTCCGTGTGTCCATCTGGGGCTCTGGCCGTGGCTCTGGGGGCACACTGGGGTCTGGCTGTGACTCTGTCGGTGTCTCTGTCTGGGGGGTCTGTCCATGGGTCTGGGGGTCTGTCTGTGTGTCCGTGGGTCCTTCCAGGGCTCTGTCTGTCTGTCTGTCTGGGGCTCTGTCCGTCTGTCCATCCGGGGCTCTCACTGTCACAGGGGTCCCTCTGTGGGACTGTCCCTGCTGGAAATCTGTCCGTGTGTCCATGCCTGTGTCTGTGTGTCCATGCCTGTGTCTGTGTGTCCATCCCCATGTCCGTGTGCCCATCCCCATGTCCATGTGTCCATCTCTGTGTCCGTGTGTCCGTGTGTCCATCCCTGTGTCCGTGTGTCGGTCATTTCCACCAGAGCACGTTCCAGAGCAGCAGCCAGCATGGGTAGGCGCCCAGGCAGAGCAGGGGGCTCAGGCGGGTCTGTCCGTGTGTCCGTGTGTCCGTGTGTCCGTGTGTCGGTCATTTCCACCAGAGCACGTTCCAGAGCAGCAGCCAGCAGGGATGGGCCCCCAGGCAGAGCAGGGGGCTCAGGTGGGTCTGTCTGTCTGTGGGTCTGTCCGTGTGTCCATCCCTGTGTCTGTGTGTCCCTCATTTCCACCAGAGCACGTTCCAGAGCAGCAGCCAGCAGGGATAGGCGCCCAGGCAGAGCAGGGGGCTCAGGTGGGCCCCATGCAGGGGGTGATGGGGGGCTGTGTATCCATGCCGTGTCTGTGGGTCTGTCCGTGTGTCCGTGTGTCCGTGTGTCGGTCATTTCCACCAGAGCACGTTCCAGAGCAGCAGCCAGCAGGGATGGGCCCCCAGGCAGAGCAGGGGGCTCAGGTGGGTCTGTCTGTCTGTGGGTCTGTCCGTGTGTCCATCCCTGTGTCTGTGTGTCCCTCATTTCCACCAGAGCACGTTCCAGAGCAGCAGCCAGCATGGATAAGCCCCCAGGCAGAGCAGGGGGCTCAGGTGGGTCTGTCTGTCTGTGGGTCTGTCCGTGTGTCCATCCCTGTGTCCGTCTGTCCCTCATTTCCACCAGAGCACGTTCCAGAGCAGCAGCCAGCAGGGGTAGGCCCCCAGGCAGAGCAGGGGGCTCAGGTGGGCCCCGTGCAGGTGCTCCTGCAGCAGCCCCTGGCCCAGCGCCCCCAGGAAGCGCTGCCAGGCCTCGCCCAGCCCCGCCGGCGCCTCCAGCAGCTCCCGCTCCAGCAGCACGGCCAGGAACAGCGACAGGCCCGGAGTGCTGAGAACCAGCAGGATGGCCAGGGGCAGCCTGGGGAGGGGGACAAGGGGGTTAGAGACACCTGGGACCACCCTGAGACCACCCTGAGACACCTGGGACCACCCTGAGACACCTGAGACCACCCTGAGATCCCCCCTGAGACCACCCTGGGACCCCCATGAGACCCCAGAGACCACCCTGAGACCACCCTGAGTCCCCAGGTGAGCACCAGCAGCACTGGGGGCACCGTCCAGGGTGGGCAGGGGGGGACAGGGACACCCAGAGTCCCCCAGGAACATCCAGGGACCACCAAGGACACCCAGGGACCCCTCCTCACCTGTGTGCAAGGGCACTCACCTGTCCCCAGGTGTGTCTCACCTGTCCCCAGGTGTCCCCAGGTGTGTCTCACCTGCTGCCCCCAGGCCTGACGGTGGCCACAAGTGGCACCAGGGTGGCCCCAGGTGTGCCCAGGTGTGTCTCACCTGTCCCCAGGTGTCTCCAGGTGTCCCTAGGCTGTTCCCAGGTGTCCCTAGGCTGTTCCCAGGTGTCTCACCTGTACCCAGGTGTCCCCAGGTGTGTGTCACCTGTTGCCCCCATGTCCCCAGGTGTCCCCAGGTGTGTGTCACCTGTAGCCCCCAGGTCTCACAGCAGCTGCAGGTGGCACCAGGGTGGCCCCAGGCTCTCCCCATGTCCCCAGGTGTGTCTCACCTGTTGCCCCCAGGCTGTCCCCAGGTGTCCCCATGTCCCCAGGTGTGTCTCACCTGTTGCCCCCATGTCCCCAGGTGTCCCCAGGTGTCCCCAGGTGTCCCCATGTCCCCAGGTGTGTCTCACCTGTTGCCCCCAGGTCTGACGGCGGCCGCAGGTGGCACCAGGGTGGCGCCCAGCAGGAAGCCCAGGGAGAAGTTGAGCAGGGCCAGGCAGGAGAGGAGCAGGGCCAGGGCCAGCAGGGCCACCAGCTTGAGGGACATCCAGCCACGCTGGCCACCCCCGGACAGGGCCCTGTGGGGACACAGAGTGACACTGAGTGACACAGAGTGACACAGTGCCACCATCCCTGTCACACAGGGCCACCAGCTTGAGGGACATCCAGCCACGCTGGCCACCCCCTGAGAGAGCCCTGTGGGGACACAGAGTGACACAGTGCCACCATCCCTGTCACCATCCCTGTCACACAGTGTCACACAGTGCCACCATCCCTGTGACACAGGGCCACCAGCTTGAGGGACATCCAGCCACGCTGGCCACCCCCGGACAGGGCCCTGGGGACATGGAGAGACACAGAGTGACACAGTGCCACCATCCCTGTCACTATCCCTGTCACTGTCTCTGTCACACAGTGTCACACAGGGCCACCAGCTTGAGGGACATCCAGCCACGCTGGCCACACCCTGAGAGAGCCCTGGGGACACAGAGTGACACAGAGTGACACAGTGCCACCTTCCCTGTCACACAGTGTCACACAGTGCCACCACCCCTGTCACTATCCCTGTCACCATCCCTGTCACACAGTGTCACACAGTGCCACCATCCCTGTCACCACCCCTGTCACACAGTGTCACACAGTGCCACCATCTTGAGTGCCACACATCGATACCAGCCCCACACCTGTACCTGTGGGTACCTGAGGGGCAATGCCAGCCCCTCACCCGTGTGTGCTGTGGGTACCTGTGGGTACCTGTGGGTACCTGTGCCAGGCTCACCTGTGGGTGCTGTGGGGCAGTGCCAGCCTCATCTGTGGGTGCTGTGGGTACCTGAGGGTACCTGTGCCAGGCTCACCTGTGGGTACCTGTGCCAGGCTCACCTGTGCCAGGCTCACCTGTGCGTGCTGTGGGGCAGTGCCAGGCTCACCTGTGGGTGCTGTGGGGCAGTGCCAGGCTCACCTGTGGGTGCTGTGGGTGCCTGTACCAGGCTCACCTGTGCCAGGCTCACCTGTGGGTGCTGTGGGTGCCTGTGCCAGGCTCACCTGTGGGTGCTGTGGGGCAGTGCCAGGCTCACCTGTGCGTGCTGTGGGGCAGTGCCAGCTGTACCTGTGGGTACCTGTGGGTGCTGTGGGGCAGTGCCAGGCTCACCTGTGGGTGCTGTGGGTACCTGTGCCAGGCTCACCTGTGCCAGGCTCACCTGTGGGTACCTGTGGGTGCTGTGGGTGCCTGTACCAGGCTCACCTGTGCCAGGCTCACCTGTGTGTGCTGTGGGGCAGTGCCAGCCTCATCTGTGGGTACCCGTGGGTACCTGAGGGTACCTGTGTGTGCTGTGGGGCAGTGCCAGGCTCACCTGTGTGTGCTGTGGGGCAGTGCCAGGCTCACCTGTGGGTGCTGTGGGTGCCTGTACCAGGCTCACCTGTGCCAGGCTCACCTGTGTGTGCTGTGGGGCAGTGCCAGGCTCACCTGTGGGTGCTGTGGGTGCCTGTACCAGGCTCACCTGTGCCAGGCTCACCTGTGGGTGCTGTGGGGCAGTGCCATCCCTGCCACGTAGATGCCAATCAGTGCCAGCACCACGGCCTCGGCCTCGCCCACCGGGAAGTGCTGGGTGGCCACGGCCTGGCCCCGCACGGGCAGCAGGTACAGGGCAGTGCCAGCCCCCCAGGACACCAGGATGGGGGGCACCAGCCACAGGAGACCCCCCCGCGCCTGGGGGGCACAGGAGGGGTGTTAGAGTGGGGGCACAGGGGGCACAGGGGGCACAGGGGGGCAAAGGGGGCACACAGGGGGTACAGGGGGTATAGGGGGCACAGGGGGCACAGGGGGCACACAGGGGGGCACAGGGGGCACAGGGGGCACATGGGGCACACAGGGGGCACAGGGGGCACACAGGGGGGCACAGGGGGCACAGGGGGGTACAGGGGGCACACAGGGGGGCACAGGGGGCACAGGGGGCACAGGGGGGCACAGGGGGTACAGGGGGCACACAGGGGGGCACAGGGGGCACAGGGGGCACACAGGGGGCACATGGTGTACAGGGGGGCACACAGGGGGCACAGGGGGCACAGGGGGTACACAGGGGGGCACAGGGGGCACAGGGGGGTACAGGGGGCACACAGGGGGCACAGGGGGCACAGGGGGCACCCAGGGGGGTACAAGGGGCACAGGGGGCACACAGGGGGCACAAGGGGCACAGGGGGGTACAGGGGTGAGGGTGGGGGTCCCAGGGGGTCCCAACAGGGAGAGGGGTTGGGGGTCAGGGATGGGGGGCTGGGGTCAGCACAGGGGGGGCTGTGGGTCAGGGTGGGGGTCCCAGGGGTGACAATGGGGGTAGGGGGGTCAGGATGGGGGTCCCTGGGGGTCCCAGGTCAGTCTGGGGCTCAGGGGTGGGTCTGGGGTCACTCCAGGGGTCCCAGGTCAGCGTGGGGGTCCTGGGGGTCTCTGGGGTCCCAGGGTGGGGAAGGGATCAGTCTGGGGGTCTCAAGGGGGGCCCAAGGGATCCCAGGGGGTCCCAGGTCAGGGTGGGGGTCCCAGGGGGCTCTGGGGGTCTCTGGGCTCAGTCTGGGGACTCCTGGGGTCCCAGGTCACTCTGGGGGTGGGTCAGGGCTTAGGGTGGGGGTCCCAGGGTGGGCCCAGGTCAGTCTGGGGGTCAGGGGTGGGTCTGGGGTCACCCTGGGGCTCTGGGGTCACTCTGGGGGTTCCTGGGGTCCCAGATCAGGGTGGGGGTCCCAGGGTGGGTCCGGGGTCAGTCTGAGGGTCCCAGGGGGTCCCAGGGTGGGTCAGGGCTTAGGGTGGGGGTCCCAGATCAGTCTGGGGGTCCCAAGAGGTCCCAGGATGGGTCTGGGGTCACTCTGGGGGTCCCAGGTCACTCTGGGGGTCCCAGGGTGGGTCTGGGGTCACTCTGGGGGTCCCAGGTCACTCTGGGGGTCCCAGGGTGGGTCTGGGGTCACTCTGGGGGTCCCAGGATGGGTCTGTGGTCAGTTTGGGGGTCCCAGGTCACTCTGGGGGTCCCAGGATGGGTCTGGGGTCAGTTTGGGGGTCCCAGGGTGGGTCTGGGGTCAGTTTGGGGGGTCCCAGATCCGGGTGGGGGTCCCAGGATGGGTCTGGGGTCACTCTGGGGGTCCCAGGGTGGGTCTGGGGTCAGTTTGGGGGTTCCAGGTCACTCTGGGGGTCCCAGGGTGGGTCTGGGGTCTCCTCACCTCCCCTGGGGGGGGGTCCCCCTCCCCCTCCTCGCTCCGGCTCAGCCGCATCCACAGGTCCAGGGCGTGGGGGAGGGGTCAAGGAAAGGGACCCTCGGACCCCCGACCCCAAAATCCCTCCCTTTATCCTAAAATCCCTCCCTTTACCCCAAAATCCCTCACTTTACCCCAAACCCCCTCCCTTTACCCCAAAATCCCTCCCTTTACCCCAAAATCCCTTCTTTACCCCAAAATCCCTCCCTTTATCCTAAAATCCCTCCCTTTACCCCAAAATCCCTCCCTTAACCCCAAAATCCCTCCCTTAACCCCAAAAATCCCTCCTTTTACCCCAAAATCCCTCCCTTTACCCCAAAATCCCTCCCTTAACCCCCAAATCCCTCCCTTTACCCCAAAATCCCTCCTTTACCCCAAAATCCCTCCTTTTACCTAAAATCTGTCCTTTAACCCCAAAATCCCTCCCTTAACCCCCAAAATCCCTCCTTTGACCCCAAAACCCCTCCCTTTACCCCAAAACCCCTCCTTTTCCCCCAAAATCCCTCCTTTTCCCCCAAAATCCCTCCTTTGACCCCAAAATCCCTCCTTTTCCCCCAAAATCCCTCCTTTGACCCCAAAATCCCCCATTTCCTAAAATCCCCCCATTCCCCAAATGCCCCCAAATCCCTCTTTGCCCATTTTCCCCTCTTCCCTCCCCAAAATTTCCATTTCCCCCCAAAATCCCACGTTTTGCCCCCTCGTGCCCCAATTGCCCCATTTTTCTCTCTTTTCCCCCCAAACCCCGTTTTTCCCCCACCTCCCCTTTTCTTTTTCACCCCAAAACCCCCATTTCCCCCAAACACGCAGTTTCACCATTTTTTCCTCCAAATCCCAATTTTTCCCCAGTTCTCCCCATTTTTGGCTCATTTCCTCATTTTCCTCATTTCCCCCCATTTCCATACATTTCCCATTTTTTCTTATTTTTTATCAAATTTTCCCCTATTTTTTTCCCATTTTTTACCCATTTTTCACCCATTTTTTCCCGTTTTTCCCCATTTTCACCCCAGGATATGCGCAGGCCCAGCACCAGCAGCAGCAGGGCCAGGGCAGGCACACAGGAGCCCATTCCCCATTTTCCCCTTGCTTTTACCCCATTTTTTACCCCATTTTTCCCCGTTTTTCACCATTTTTACCCATTTTTCCCCACTTTTTCCCAATTTCCCGTTTTTTCAGCCCAGGATATGCACAGGCCCAGCACCAGCAGCAGCAGGGCCAGGGCAGGCACGTAAGAGCCCATTCCCCATTTTCCCCTTGTTTTTACCCCATTTTTTACCCCATTTTTTCCCCGTTTTTCACCATTTTTTCACGTTTTCACCCGTTTTTTCCCAATTTCCCGGTTTTTCAGCCCAGGATATGCGCAGGCCCAGCACCAGCAGCAGGGTCAAGGCAGGCACGTAAGAGCCCATTCCCAATTTCCCCTTGTTTTTACCCCATTTTTTACCCCATTTTTTCCCCGTTTTTCACCATTTTTTCACGTTTTCACCCGTTTTTTCCCAATTTCCCGGTTTTTCAGCCCAGGATATGCACAGGCCCAGCAACAGCAGCAGCAGGGCAGGGCGGGCACGCAGGAGCCCATTCCCCATTCCCCCCTTGCTTTTACCCCATTTTTTACCCCATTTTTTCCCCGTTTTTCACTGTTTTTTCACGTTTTCACCCACTTTTTCCCAATTTCCCATTTTTTCAGCCCAGGATATGCACAGGGCCAGCACCAGCAGCAGCAGGGCCAGGGCAGGCACGCAGGAGCCCATTCCCCATTTTCCTTGTTTTTACCCCATTTTTTACCCCATTTTTTCCCCGTTTTTCCCAGTTTTTTCACGTTTTCACCCGTTTTTTCCCAATTTCCCGGTTTTTCACCCCAGGATATGCACAGGGCCAGCACCAGCACCAGCAGCCCCAGGGCGGGCACGCAGGAGCCCATTCCCGTTTTCCCCTTGTTTTTACCCCATTTTTTACCCCATTTTTTCCCCGTTTTTCAACATTTTTTCACATTTTTTCCCAATTTCCCAGTTTTTCAGCCCAGGATATGCGCAGGGCCAGCACCAGCAGCAGCAGCCCCAGGGCAGGCACACAGGAGCCCATTCCCGTTTTCCCCTTGTTTTTACCCCATTTTTTACCCCATTTTTCCCATTTTTTCACATTTTTACCCCATTTTTCCCATTTTTTCACATTTTTTCCCCATTTTTTCCCAATTTCCCGGTTTTTCAGCCCAGGATATGCGCAGGGCCAGCACCAGCAGCAGCAGGGCCAGGGCGGGCACGTAGGAGCCGATGGAGACGAAGCGGGACAGGGAGGGCAGCAGGTACAGGAAATAGGATTGGTGCAGCCGCTCCAGGAGGTTGTTCAGCTTCCGGAACATTCCCTCAAGGGTCCTGGGGGGTGGGAATGGGAGAGGGGTCAGGGGAGACCCCCAGGGACCCCCCAAATACAAAGAGGGACCCCCTGGAATCCCCCAACCCCATACAGGAACCCCCAAGCCCACACAGGAACCCCAAATCCCACAGTTCCAGAAGGTTCCAGGAGCTTCTGGAACATTCCCTGAAGGGTCCTGGGGGGGGGGGGGGAATGGGATTGGGGTCAGGGGAGACCCCCAGGATGCCCCAAATAAGAGAGAGACCCCCTGGAATCCCCCAACCCCATACAGGAACCCCAAGTCCCACACAGGAACCCCAAATCCCACAGTTCCAGAAGGTTCCAGGAGCTTCCAGAATATTCCTTGAAGGGTCCTGGGGGTGGGAATGGGACTGGGGTCAGGGGAGACCCCCTGGGACCTCCCAAATACGGAGAGGGACCCCCAGAATCCCCTACCCCATACAGGAACCCCCAACCCCACAGTTCCAGAAGGTTCTGGGAGCTTCCGGAACATTCCCTCAAGGGTCCTGGGGGTGGGAATGGGAGAGGGGTCAGGGGAGACCCCCTGGGACCCCCCAAATCCAGGGGAGACCCCCAGAATGCCCCAAATACAGAGAGAGACCCCCAGAATCCCCCAACCCCACACAGGAACCCTCAACCCCACACAGGAACCCCAAATCCCACAGTTCCAGAAGGTTCCAGGAGCTTCTGGAACATTCCCTGAAGGGTCTTGGGGGGTGGGAACAGGAGAGGGGTCAGGGGAGACCCCCAGGGATCCCCCAAATACAGAGAGAGACCCCCTGGATTCCCCCAATCCCATACAGGAACCCCCAACCCCACAGTTCCAGGAGCTTCTGGAACATTCCCTGAAGGGTCCTGGGGGGGGGGGGGGGAATGGGACTGGGGTCAGGGGAGACCCCCAGGGACCCCCCAAATACAGAGAGAGACCCCCTGGAATCCCCCAACCCCATACAGGAACCCCCAGTCCCACACAGGAACCCCAAATCCCACAATTCCAGAAGGTTCCGAGAGCTTCCAGAACATTCCCTGCAGGGTCCTGGGGAGGACTGGGGTCAGGGGAGACCCCTGGGACCCCTCCCCAGTGTCACCCCAAGACCCTCAGGACCCCACAAATACCCCCAAAACCACCCCAAAACAGCCCAAGACCCTCTGGGACCCCCCCCAGGGACCCCCAAATCCCGTCAGAACCGCCTCCCCCAGGGACCCCCAAACCCAACCAAATCGCCCTCAGGACCCCCCCAAATCCCCCCTAGGACCCCCCCAAATCCTCCCCAAATGCCCCAACCCCCCCCTCAAAACAGCCCTCAGGACCCCCAAACTCCCCCAAATTCAGAATTCCCCCAAAGCCCCCCAAGAACCCCCAAAACCCCCCAAAATCCCCCCGGGACCCCAGACCCACCTGCCCAGGACCCCCAGGTCAAATTTGTGCTGCCTGAAGCTGCTGATGCCCCACAGGGTCAGGGACCCCCCGAGTTCCCAAACCCCCCCAGACCCACTCAGGACCCCCCAAACCCCCTTGGGACTCCCCCAAATGCCCTCAGGACCCCCATAAACCCCCCCAGGGACCCCAGACCCACCTGCCCAGGACCCCCAGGTCGAACTTGTGCTGCCTGAAGCTGTTGATGCCCCACAGGGTCAGGGACCCCCAGGGTTCCCAAACACCCCCAGACCCACTCAGGACCCCCATAAAGCCCCTCGGGACCCCCCCAAACCCCCCCAGGGACCCCAGACCCACCTGCCCAGCACCTCCAGGTCAAACTTTTGCTGCCTGAAGCTGTTGATGCCCTGCAGGGTCAGGGACCCCCTGGGACCCCCAGGGTTCCCAAACTCCCCCAGACCCACTCAGGACGCCCCAAATCCCTTTGGGACCCCCCAAACCCCCCCAGGGACCCCAGACCCACCTGCCCAGGACCCCCAGGTCGAACTTGTGCTGCCTGAAGCTGTTGATGCCCCGCAGGGTCAGGGCCTCGATGCGGAAGCGCAGGAAGAGCCCGTGAGCCCCCCCGGGCCCGCCCCCGGCCTGGCCCAGCACCATCAGCCCCAGCGTGCGCAGGCTCTGGGCATAGCCTGGACCTGAGGGACCCTCCGGGGGGGGCAGCTGGGGGACAGGGGTCAGTGAGTGACCACTGAGTGACCACTGACCCCTCAGTGCACCCCAAAACCCTCCCAATGCCCCCTGACCCCCCCAGCGTGCGCAGGCTCTGGGCATAGCCCGGCCCCGAGGGACCCTCCGGGGGGGGCAGCTGGGGGGAGAGACCGGAGAGTGACCACTGAGTGACCACTGAGTGACCCTGAGTGACCACTGAGTGACCCTGAGTGACCACTGAGTGATCAATGAGTGACCCCTGAGTGACCACTGAGTGATCAATGAGTGACCCTGAGTGACCCGAGTGACCCCTGAGTGACCCTGAGTGACCACTGAGTGACCACTGAGTGACCAATGAGTGACCAATGAGTGACCCTGAGTGACCCTGAGTGACCACTGAGTGACCACTGAGTGACCCTGAGTGACCCTGAGTGACCACTGAGTGATCAATGAGTGACCATGAGTGACCACTGAGTGACCACTGAGTGACCCTGAGTGACCACTGAGTGACCCTGAGTGACCCTGTGTGACCACTGAGTGACCCTGAGTGACCACTGACCCCCCAGCACCATCAGCCCCAGCGTGCGCAGGCTCTGGGCATAGCCCGGCCCTGAGGGACCCTCCGGGGGGGGCAGCTGGGGGGAGAGACCGGAGAGTGACCACTGAGTGACCACTGAGTGACCCTGAGTGACCACTGAGTGACCACTGAGTGACCACTGAGTGACCCTGAGTGACCACTGAGCGACCAATGAGTGACCCTGAGTGACCACTGAGTCACCCTGAGTGACCACTGAGTGACCAATGAGTGACCCCTGAGTGACCACTGAGTGACCCTGAGTGACCACTGAGTGACCCCTGAGTGACCACTGAGTGACCCTGAGTGACCACTGAGTGACCCCTGAGTGACCACAGAGTGACCACTGAGTGACCACTGAGTGATCACTGAGTGACCCCAGTGACCACTGAGTGACACTGAGTGACCACTGAGTGACCCTGAGTGACCACTGAGTGACCACTGACACTGAGTGACCACTGAGTGACCCTGAGTGACCACTGAGTGACCACTGACACTGAGTGACCACTGAGTGACCCCTGAGTGACCCCTGAGTGACCAATGAGTGACCACTGAGTGACCCCTGAGTGACCAATGAGTGACCACTGAGTGACCACTGAGTGACCACTGACCACAGAGTGACCCTGAGTGACCCCTGAGTGACCACTGGGTGACCCCTGAGTGACCCCTGAGTGACCCTGAGTGACCCCTGAGTGACCCCTCAATACCCCCTGAAGCCCCCAGCCCGGGGAGTGACCCCTTGGTGCCCCCCCAGCCCAGGAGAGAAACCCTGAAGCCCCCCCAGGACCCTCCAGGAACCCCCCAAAGCCTCCCCAGGACCCCCCAAAGCCCCCCAGGACCCCCACCTTGCCCTGGTTCAGCAGGTCCAGGTTGGGCAGAGCAGCCCCCAGACCCCCTGAAGCCCCCCCAGGACCCCCCAAAGCCCCCCAAAGCCCCCCAGGACCCCCACCTTCCCCTGGAAGATGCAGAGCAGCCCCCAGACCCCCTGAAGCCCCCCCAGGACCCCCCAAAGCCCCCCAAAGCCCCCCAGGACCCCCACCTTCCCCTGGAAGATGCAGAGCAGCCCCCAGACCCCCTGAAGCCCCCCAGGACCCCCCCAGGACCCCCACCTTGCCCTGGAAGGTGCAGAGCAGGCCACTCTTGAGGCAGGAGTGGAAGAGGTTGAGCAGGTCCAGGTTGGGCAGAGCAGCCCCCAGACCCCCCAGGACTCCCCCAAAGCCCCCCAGGACCCCCCCAGGACCCCCACCTTGCCCTGGAAGGTGCAGAGCAGCCCCCAGACCCCCCAAAGCCCCCCAGGACCCCCACCTTGCCCTGGAAGGTGCAGAGCAGGCCGCTCTTGAGGCAGAAGGAGTGGAAGAGGTTGAGCAGGTCCAGGTTGGGCAGTTGCCCGTTCAGCCCCTCCACGGCCACGTCCACGCTGGTCACCACGTCCGAGCTGAGCTCCAGGGCCAGAGCGGCCTGGATGGCCCCTGCCCGGCCTGGGACCCCCCCCGAGTGGATGTCTGGGGGGGGACAGACCTGTGAGACCCCCCCGGAATGGCCACGGGACCCCTGGGACCCCCCCAGAACAGCCATGAGACCCCCAGAGCCACGGGACCCCCATGGGACCCCCATGGGACCCCTGTGTCCACTCTGGTCACTGTGTCCGTGCCCAGCTCCAGGGTCACCTGGATGGCCCCTGCCCGGCCTGGGACCCCCCCCGAGTGGATGTCTGGGGGGGACAGACCCGTGAGACCCCCCCAGAATGGCCACAGGACCCCTGAGACCCCCCCAGAACAGCCATGAGACCCCCAGAGCCACAGGATCCCTGTGGGACCCCCATGTCCACTCTGGTCACTGTGTCCATGGTGTCCGTGCCCTGCCTGGCCTGGGACCCCCCTTGAGTGGGTGTCTGGGGGGGGACAGACCCTGTGAGACCCCCTGAGACCCCCTGAGACCCCCCCAGAACACCCATGGGACCCCTGAGACTCCCAGAGCCACAGGATCCCCGTGGGACCCCCGTGTCCACTCTGGTCACTGTGTCCATGCCCAGCTCCAGGGTCATCAGATGGGCCCACCTGGCCAGGGACCCCCCTTGAGTGGGTGTCTGGGTGTGGACAGACCCTGTGAGACCCCCATGGCACCCTCAGAACAGCCACAGGACCCCTAAGACCCCCAGGACAGCCATGAGACCCCCAGAGCCACGGGACCCCCATGGGCCCCCCGTGTCCAATCTGGTCACTGTGTCCATGGTGTCCGTGCCCTGCCCGGCCTGGGACCCCCCCCCAAGTGGGTGTCTGGGGGGGGACAGACCCTGTGAGACCCCCTGAGACCCCCCAGAACACCCATGGGACCCCTGAGACCCCCCCAGAACAGCCATGAGACCCCCAGAGCCATGGGACCCCCGTGGGACACCCGTGTCCAATCTGGTCACTGTGTCCATGCCCTGCCCGGCCAGGGACCCCCCTTGAGTGGGTGTCTGGGGGGGGGACAGACCCCTGAGACCCCCCCAGAACACCCATGGGACCCCTGGGACCCCCCCCAGAGCCACAGGATCCCCGTGGGACCCCCGTGTCCACTCTGGTCACTGTGTCCGAGCTCAGCTCCAGGGTCACCAGATGGGCCCACCTGGCCAGGGACCCCCCTTGAGTGGGTGTCTGGGGGGGGACAGACCCCTGAGACCCCCATGGCACCCCCAGAACGGCCAGGGGACCCCCTCGGGACCCCCAGCACAGCCATGGGACCCCCAGAGCCACAGGACCCCCATGGGACCCCCGTGGGACCCCCAAAAAAGCCACAGGACCCCCATGGGACCCCCATGTCCACTGTGGTCACTGCATCCGTGCTCTGGCCAAGGGCGCCTGGATGGGCCCTGAGCCCTCCCAGTGCTCCCAGTCTGACCAGTAAGGATCACACCCTGTACCCCAGTGCTCCCAGTCTAACCAGTAAGGATCACACCCTGTACCCCAGTGCTCCCAGTCTGACCAGTAAGGCTGAGCCATAGCACCCCCAGTGCCCCCCCAGTGCTCCCAGTTTAACCAGTAAGGTCCACACCACGTACCTCAGTTCCCCCCAGTGCTCCCAGTCTGACCAGTAAGGGATCACACCCTGTCCCCCAGTCCCTCCCAGTTCATCCCAGTCTCACCAGTAAGGTTGACATCTTGGTACCCAGTCCCTCCCAGTCCCTCCCAGTGCTCCCAGTCTCACCAGTAATGATCAGACCATGTCCCCCAGTCCCTCCCAGTTCATCCCAGTAAGGTTCCCACCATCCCTCCCAGTTCCTCCCAGTCCCTCCCAGTGCTCCCAGTCTCACCAGTAAGGTTGACATCGTGGTAGGCCTCCAGCCAGGCCTGTGTCCCCACCAGGTCATGCTCAGTCACCAGGAAGATGAGATCCTTGGCCCAGTACACCTGGCCTGGGGAAACTGGGAGCTCTGGGACTGACCAGTATGGCCCAGTATGGCCCAGTACAGCCCAGTCCCTGCCCCAATCCCTGCCCAGCCCCTCTAAGGACCCCCCCAGCACCCCAGGGCTCCCTCCAGCCCCAGTATCCCCAGTACCCCCCAGAAACCCCCAGCCCCAGCTGCCTCCAGGTGCCCCCCGGACCTCCCCAGGACCCCCATTAGACCCCCAGGACCCCCCCAGGACCCCCCCAGGACACCCCAGGACCCCCATTAGACCTCCAGGACCCCCCAGGACCCCCCTGGGACCCCCAGGACCACCCCAGGACCCCCCAGGACTCCCGAAGACCCCCCAGACCTCAGCAGAACCCCACCAGGGCCAGCAGCAGCCCCATGGCCTGGTCATTTTGGGGTCCCTCAGAGCAGCCCCCAGGACCCCCCCAGGATCCCCAGGACCCCTATTAGACCCCCAGGACCCCCCCAGAAACCCTTCAGGACCACCATTAGCCCCCCCAGCACCCCCATTATCCCCCCCAGACCCCCAGAACCCCCCCAGGACCCCCATTAGACCCCCCAGACCCCCCTGACCTCAGCAGAACCCCACCAGGGCCAGCAGCAGCCCCATGGCCTGGGCATTGTGGGGTCCCTCAGAGCAGCCCCCAGGACCCCCATTAGCCCCCCAGGACCCCCCTGGGACCCCCATTAGACCCCCCCAGGACCCCCAGGATCCCCAGGACCCCCCAACCTCGGCAGAAGCCCGCCAGGGCCAGCAGCAGCCCCACGGCCTGGTTGTTCTTGCTGCCCTCGGAGCAGGGCACGAGCAGCAGCAGCGCCTCCGTGCTGGCAGCGCGGGGGGCTCGGAGCACCCCGAAAACGTTGGTGCCACGGACCAGCTGGGGAGGGACAGACGGACACCCCAACATCACACAGGGACCCCCAAATGTACCCAGAGACCCCAACATCCCCACAGCACCCCAAAAACGTTGGTGCCACGGACCAGCTGGGGAGGGACAGACGGACACCCCAGAATCACACAGGGACCCCCAAAACCTGCCTTGAGACCCCAAAACACCCCAACATCCCCACAGCACCCCGAAAACGTTGGTGCCACAGACCAGCTGGGGAGGGACAGACGGACACCCCACAATCACACAGGGACCCCCAATTCACTCAGAGACCCCAAAACACCCCAACATCCCCACAGCACCCCGAAAATGTTGGGGCCCCAAACCACCTGGGGATGAAATGGGACAGGGATCAGCACCCCACAATCACACAGGATCCCCAAAACCTGCCCTGAGACCCCAAAGTCGCACAGCAACCCCAACATCCCCACAGCACCCCGAAAATGTTGGTGCCACGGACCAGCTGGGGATGGAATGGGACAGGGATCAGCACCCCAAAATCACCCAGGGACCCCAAATCCTCCCAGAGACCACCAAAGCTGCCCTGAGACCCCCAATCTACACAGGGACCCCCAAAACACCCCAACATCCCCACAGCACCCCGAAAACGTTGGGGCCCTGAACCACCTGGGGAGGAAATGGGATCAGCACCCCAGAATCACACAGGGAGCCCCAAAACTGCCCAGGAACCCCCAATTCACCCAGAGACCCCAAAACACCCCAACATCCCCACAGCACCCCGAAAACCTTGGGGCCCCAAACCAGCTGGGGAGGGACAGACGGACACCCCAAAACCCAAACAGGGACCCCCAAAACCTGCCCTGAGACCCCAAACTCGCACAGCAACCCCAACATCCCCACAGCACCCCGAAAACGTTGGGGCCCAGCTGGGGAGGGACAGACAGACACCCCAAAATCACACAGGGACCCCCAAAACCTGCCCTGAGACCCCAAACTCGCACAGCAACCCCAAAAACGTTGGTGCCACAGACCAGCTGGGGATGGAATGGGACAGGGATCAGCACCCCAAAATCACACAGGGACCCCAAAATCCTCCCAGAGACCACCAAAGCTGCCCTGAGACCCCCAATCTACACAGAGACCTCAAAACACCCCAACATCCCCACAGCACCCCGAAAACATTGGGGCCCAGCTGGGGAGGGACAGACGGACACCCCAAAACTGCCCAGGAACCCCAAACAGGGACCCCAAAACCTGCCCTGAGACCCCAAACTCGCACAGCAACCCCATCATCCCCACAGCACCCCGAAAATGTTGGGGCCCAGCTGGGGAGGGACGGACAGACAGACACCCCAAAACCCAAACAGGGACCCCCATTCCCAGTGCTCCCAGTCCCTCCAGTCCCTCCCAGTCCCTCCAGTCCCTCCCAGTCCCCCCAGTTCCCAGTGCTCCCACTCCCCCCCTTACCCCCTCCCAGTGCTCCCAGTGCCCCCAGTCCCCATTCCCAGTGCTCCCAGTCCCTCCCAGTCCCCATTCCCAGTGCTCCCAGTCCCCCCCATTCCCAGTGCTCCCAGTCCCCATTCCCAGTGCTCCCAGTCCCTCCCAGTCCCCATTCCCAGTTCCCCCAGTCCCCATTCCCAGTGCTCCCAGTCCCCATTCCCAGTGCTCCCAGTGCCCCCAGTCCCCATTCCCAGTGCTCCCAGTGCTCCCAGTCCCTCCCAGTCCCCATTCCCAGTGCTCCCAGTCCCCCCCATTCCCAGTGCTCCCAGTTCCCCCAGTCCCCATTCCCAGTGCTCCCAGTCCCCATTCCCAGTGCTCCCAGTCCCCGTTCCCAGTGCTCCCAGTGCTCCCAGTTCCCCCCGTCCCCGTTCCCAGTGCTCCCAGTGCTCCCAGTTCCCCAGTCCCCATTCCCAGTGCTCCCAGTTCCCCCAGTCCCCGTTCCCAGTGCTCCCAGTGCTCCCAGTTCCCCCAGTCCCCGTTCCCAGTGCTCCCAGTGCTCCCAGTTCCCCGTTCCCAGTGCTCCCAGTGCTCCCAGTTCCCCCAGTACGTAGCGCTCGTGGGCCTCGTCGGGGAAGGGCAGCGTGCGGCTGAAGGGCTGGCGATGGACCTCGAGCCCCAGCTGGAACATGGTCTGCTCCAGCCACCCCACGGGCATTCCCCTATAAAATATATGGGAAATGATAGGGGATTGGGGCACCCCAAACCCTCCCTGAGCCCCAAACCCTCCCTGAGCCCCACAGGCTCTGCTCCAGCCACCCCACAGGCATTCCCCTATAAAATAATAGGGGATTGGGGCACCCCAAACCCTCCCTGAGCCCCACAGGCTCTGCTCCAGCCACCCCACAGGCATTCCCCTACAAATATATGGGAAATGACAGGGGATTGGGGCACCCCAAACCCCACAGGCTCTGCTCCAGCCACCCCACAGGCATTCCCCTATAAAATATATGGGATTGGGGCACCCCAAACCCTCCCTGAGCCCCACAGGCTCTGCTCCAGCCACCCCACAGGCATTCCCCTATAAAATATATGGGAAATGACAGGGGATTGGGGCACCCCAGAGCACCCCAAACCCCACAGGCTCTGCTCCAGCCACCCCACAGGCATTCCCCTACAAAATATATGGGATTGGGGCACCCTGAACCCTCCCTGAGCCCCACAGGCTCTGCTCCAGCCACCCCACAGGCATTCCCCTACAAATATATGGGAAATAACAGGGGATTGGGGCACCCCAGAGCACCCCAAACCCCACAGGCTCTGCTCCAGCCACCCCACAGGCATTCCCCTACAAAATATATGGGAAATAACAGGGGATTGGGGCACCCAGAGCATCCCTGAGCCCCACAGGCTCTGCTCCAGCCACCCCACAGGCATTCCCCTATAAATTAATAGGGGATTGGGGCACCCCAAACCCTCCCCAAATCCCTTCTCCAGCCTCTCCAACCAGCAGTGGGGATGGGAACCCCCCTAGAACTTCCCCAAAGCCCAAAGGGGTCCCCCTGCTCTCCAGTTGTCCCCCAAAATTCCTGTCCCCCCTCCCCAAACCCCCCCAGTCCACCCCAAACCCAACCCTAAATCCCTATCCCCAAACCCCCCAAACTCAACCCCAAATCCCCCAATCCAGCCCCAAACCCAACCCCAAACCCCCTCCCCAAATCCCCCCATTCTCACCCCACTCTCCTCTTGTGCCCCCCCAGGTGTGACCCTCCCCAAACCCGACCCCAAACCCCCCAATCCTGACCCCAAACCCCCCAATCCAACCCCAAACCCCCCAAATCCCCCCCCAAACCCCCCAAATCCAACTCCAAACCTCCAAACCTGACCCCAAACCCCCCAATCCTGACCCCAAACCCCCCAAATCCAACCCCAAACCCCCCAAATCCCCCCCCAAACCCCCCAAACCTGACCCCAAACTCCCCAAATCCCCCAAATCCAATCCCAAACCCAACCCCAAACCCCCCAAACCTGACACCAAACCCCCCAAATCCCAATCCCAAACCCCCAAACCTGACCCCAAACTCCCCAAATCCAACCCCAAATCCAACCCCAAACCCCCAAACCTGACACCAAACCCCCCAAATCCCAATCCCAAACCCCCCAAACCTGACACCAAATCCCCCAAATCCCAATCCCAAACCCCCCAAACCTGACACCAAACCCCCCACATCCCAATCCCAAATCCCCCAAACCCAACCCCAAACCCCCCAAACCCCAAATCCCACCGTTCTCACCCCACTTTCCTCTTGTGCCCCCGAATTCCCAGCTGTGTTCCCCTCCCCAAACTCCCAAATCCAATCCCAAACCCCCCAAACCCCAAATCCCCCAAACCTGACCCCACTCTTCTCTTGTGTCCCCTGAAGTCCTGGGCCTGTCCCCCTCCCCAAATCCCCCAAACCCCAAATCCCCCCATTCTTGCCCCACTTTCCTCTTGTACCCCCCAAATCCCCCCTCCCCAAATCCCCCCCCAAACCCAACCCCAAATCCCCCCCCAAACCCCAATCCCAACCCCCCCAAGCCCCCAACCCCAAACCCCAAATCCCAGGGGTCTCACCCCACTTTCCTTTTGTGCCCCTTGAATTCCCGGGCCTGTCCCCCGCCCCAAACCCCCAAATCCAACCCCAAACCCAACACCAAACCCCTCAAACCTGACCCCAAACTCCCCAAATCCCCCAAATCCAATCCCAAACCCAACCCCAAACCCAACCCCAACCCCCCCTAACCTGACCCCAAACCCCCCAAATCCCCCAAATCCAATCCCAAACCCAACCCCAAACCCAACCCCAACCCCCCCTAACCTGACCCCAAACCCCCCAAATCCCCCAAATCCAATCCCAAATCCAATCCCAAACCCAACACCAAACCCCCCAAACCCAACCCCAACCCCCCCTAACCTGACCCCAAACCCCCCAAATCCCCTAAATCCAATCCCAAACCCAACACCAAACCCCCCAAACCTGACCCCAAACTCCCCAAATCCCAACCCCAAACCCCCCAAACTCCCCAAATCCCCCAAATCCAACCCCAAACCCAACCCCAAACCCCCCAAGCCTGACCGCAAACCCCCCAAATCCCAACCCCAAATCCCCCAAATCCAACCCCAAACCCAATCCCAAACCCCCCAAATCCAATCCCCCAAACCCCCCAAACCCAACCCCAAACCCCCCAAACCTGACCCCAAACCCCAAATCCCCCCATCCTTACCCTGCTTTCCTCTTGTGCCCCGCAAAGTCCCCGGCCTGTCCCCCCCCCCAAACCTGACCCCAAACCCCCCAAACCCAACCCCAAACTCCCCAAACCTGACCCCAAACCCCCAAACCCGACCCCAAACCCCCAAACCTGACCCCAAACTCCCCAAACCCAATCCCAAATCCCCCAAATCCAACCCCAAACCCCCCAAACCTGACCCTAAACTCCCCAAACCTGACCCCAAACCCCCCAAATCCCAATCCCAAACCCCCAAACCTGACCCCAAACTCCCCAAATCCCAAATCCCCTAAATCCAACCCTAAACCTAACACCAAAGCCCCCAAACCTGACCCCACACCCCACCCCAAATCCCCCAAATACCAATCCCAAACCCCCCAAACCTGACCCCAAACCCCCCAAATTCCAATCCCAAACCCGCCAAACCCCAAATCTCCCCGTCCTTACCCCGCTTTCCTCTTGTGCCCCCCGAATTCCCGGGCCAGCGCCAGTGCTCGGGCCCCCAGGTCGGAGCCCTCGCCCACCATGGTGGAGCCCATGGCGTTCTCAGACAGGTACGTGCGGGGGGCCAGGGCTGGGAGGAGCAGGAACCACGTGAGCCCCGACAGGTAACTCAGGATGCTGTGAGGGACACCCCAAAATCATCAGTGACACCCCAAAAATAACCTCAAAACCATCAGTGACACCCCAAAGCCATCAGTGACACCCCAAACCCAGCACAGGTAACAGCAGGAACCACGTGAGCCCTGACAGGTAACTCAGGATGATGGGAGGGACACCCCAAACCCATCAGTGACACCCCAAAAATAACCCCATAACCATCAGTGACACCCCAAAAATAACCCCATAACCACCAGTGACACCCCAAAAATAACCCCAAAACCATCAGTGACACCCCAAAGTCACCAGTGACACCCCAAAGCCAGCACAGGTACGTGCGGGGGGCCAGGGTTGGGAGGACCAGGAACCAGGTGAGCCCCGACAGGTAACTCAGGACACTGTGAGGGACACCCCAAAACCATGAGGGACACCCCAAAAATAACCCCAAAACCATCAGTGACACCCCAAAAATAACCCCAAAACCACCAGTGACACCCCAAACCCATCAGTGACACCCCAAACCCAGCACAGGTAACAGCAGGAACCAGGTGAGCCCCGACAGGTAACTCAGGATGTTGGGAGGGGAACCCCAAAATGGGCACTGGCACCCCAAAAATAACCCCATAACCATCAGTGACACCCCAAAAATAACCCCAAAACCATCAGTGACACCCCAAAAATAACCCCATAACCATCAGTGATACCCCAAACCCACCAGTGACACCCCAAACCCAGCACAGGTACGTGCAGGGGGCAGCAGCACGAACCAGGTGAGCCCTGACAGGTAACTCAGGACACTGTGAGGGACACCCCAAAACCATCAGTGACACCCCAGAAATAACCCCATAACCACCAGTGACACCCCAAACCCATCACTGACACCCCAAACCCATCAGTGACACCCCAAAGCCACCAGTGACACCCCAAAGCCAGCACAGGTACGTGCAGGAGGCCAGGGCAGGGAGGAGCAGGAACCAGGTGAGCCCCGACAGGTAACTCAGGACACTGTGAGGGACACCCCAAACCCATCAGTGACACCCCAAAAATAACCCCATAACCACCAGTGACACCCCAAACCCAGCACAGGTACGTGCGGGGGGCAGCAGCACGAACCAGGTGAGCCCCGACAGGTAACTCAGGACACTGTGAGGGACACCCCAAAACCATCAGTGACACCCCAAAAATAACCCCATAACTGCCAGTGACACCCCAAACCCATCAGTGACACCCCAAAGTCAGCACAGGTACGTGCAGGGAGCCAGGCCAGGGAGGAGCAGGAACCAGGTGAGGCCCGACAGGTAACTCAGGATGCTGTGAGTGACACCCCAAAAATAACCCCATAACCATCAGTGACACCCCAAAAATAACCCCATAACCATCAGTGACACCCCAAAGCCACCAGTGCCACCCCAAAGCCAGCACAGGTAACAGCAGGAACCAGGTGAGCCCTGACAGGTAACTCAGGATGCTGTGAGGAACACCCCAAAAATAACCCCAAAACCATCAGTGACACCCCAAAAATAACCCCAAAACCACCAGTGACACCCCAAAGCCACCAGTGACACCCCAAAGCCAGCACAGGTAACAGCACGAACCAGGTGAGCCCCGACAGGTAACTCAGGATGTTGGGAGGGGAACCCCAAAACCATCAGTGACACCCCAAAAATAACCCCATAACCATCAGTGACACCCCAAAGCCATCAGTGCCACCCCAAACCCAGCACAGGTACGTGCGGGGGGCCAGGGCTGGGAGGAGCAGGAACCAGGTGGGCCCCGACAGGTAACTCAGGACACTGCAAAGGGGGGAACCCCAAAATGGGCATTGGTATCCTGAAAATAACCCCAAAGCCACCAGTGACACCCCAAAGCCAGCACAGGTAACAGCAGGAACCACGTGAGCCCTGACAGGTAACTCAGGATGATGGGAGGGGAACCCCAAAATGGGCACTGGCACCCCAAAAATAACCCCATAACCACCAGTGACACCCCAAAAATGACCCCTGACACCCCACAAGTAACCCCAAAATCACCCCAAGGACTTTCCCCCCAGAGCCCCCCATTCCCCAGGGGGGTTTTGGGGTCCCCCGCAACGGTTTTGGGTCCCCCCCCCTCACCAGAGGGGGGGTTTTGGGGTGCCCCCAGGGGGGTGTTGGGGTGTCCCCCAGAACTCACCAGAAGCAGGAACCCCAACTATAGCTGGGTTTCCCCCCAGGCCCCACAGGTTTTGGGGTGCCCCAGGGGTGTTTTTGGGGTGCCCCCAGCCCCTCACTCACCACAGGGGGGTGTTGAGCCCCCCCCATGGGATTTTGGGGTCCCCAGGATATTTTGGGGTCCCTCACTCACTACAGGGGGGGTGTTGAGGCCCACCCAGCCCCTCCCCATGTTCTGGGGTCCCCCCATGTTTTGGGGTCCCCCCAGGGGTTTTTGGGGTCCCTCACTCACTACAGGGGGGTGTTGAGGCCCCCCCAGCCCCTGCCCATGTTTTGGGGTCCCCCAGGGGTTTTTGGGGTGCCCCCACTCACCAGAGGGGGGTGTTGAGGCTCAGCAGCAGCCGGGCCAGCGCCCGCCGGCACTGCGGGTCTGAGAGCAGCCCCATGGACCCGGAGCTGTGGGGGAAATGGGGGGAAATGGGGGGGATATGGGGGGCACCGGGAGCACACAGAACCCCCGACCCCACAAACACCACAGAGAGAATCCCCGAGCCCACAAAAACCCCCAAAAACCCCACAGAGACCAGGGAGCCCCCTCCAAACCCCACAGAGCTCCCGAACCCCACAGAGACCCCATAGAGAGACCCCAGACCCCACAGAGCCCCCCTCAAACACCACAGAGTCCACAGAGACCCCAAAAACCCCACAGAGACCCGAGAGACACCAAAGACCCCTCACCCCCAAAGGACTCCCCCAAAGACCCCACAGAGACCCCAAATACCCTCCACCCACCCCATGGACCCCCAAACCCCACAGAGCTCTTAAAGACCCCACAGAGCCCCCCAAAACCCTCCCCACTTCCATGGACACCCCAAACCCCCCTCAGGTCGCCCCAAATCCCCCTCAGGCCCGGGCCCTGCCCTCCCTCCCGCCCCCTTACCGCGTTCCCCTCACCCCACAGCCCCCTCACGGACCAGCTCCCTGCCCCGCACCCTCCTGTGCCCTCCGGGACCCCCAAAAACCCCAAAATGCCCCAAAATCCCCAAATCCCCCAAAACCTGCGGGGCACGGCAGGACCAGGCCGCTTAATCGCAGCCGGAGCGCGCGGCCAGGGCGGGGAGCGGAGCGCCGAGACAGCGATCGCGGGCACCGCCCCGCCAGGGGGCGCCACGCGGAGGGGCGGGGCGAGGGGCGGGGCCACCGAGATGTGGGCGGGTCCACCTGGATGTGGGCGGGGCCACGGGATAACGGGGATTTGGGTAAAGGGGAGAAAAGGGGGGGAAAACGGGGATTTGGGGGCAAAAAAAGGGGGAAAAAACGAGGGGTTTGGGGGGGAAAAGGGGGGAACCCGGGGGGTTTGGGGTAAAGGGGGTAAAAATGGGGGGAAAACGAGGGGTTTGGGGGAAAAATGAGGCAAAAACCGGAGGAATCCGGGGGGTTTGGGGGTACAAAAGGGGGAAAAAACGGGGGCAAAAAAAGGGCAAAATCAGGGGGTTTGGGGGCACAACAGGGAGCAAAAAAGGGGGGAAAATGGGGGGTTTGAGGGCACAAATGGGGCAAAACCGGGGGGGTTTGGGCACAAAAAGGAGCAAAAAGGGGGGTTTGGAGGAAAAAAAGGAGCAAAAAATGGGGGCAAATGGGGGTTTCGGGGCAAAAAAAGGGGGTTGGGGGGGTTCAAAAGAGACAAGAAAAGGGGGAACCCCTGGATGTTTGGGGGCACAAAAAGGGGCAAAAAAGTAGGCAAAAAAATGGGGGGTTTGGGGGTAAAAAAGGGGGAACCCGGGGGGTTTTGGGGTTCAAAAGGGGGCAAAATAGTGGGGGGTTTGGGGGCACAAAAGGAGGGGGGGAAAGGAGGGTTTGGGGGTACAAAAGGGGGGAAACACGGGGGGTTTGGGGGCAAAAAAGGTGCAAAACTGGGGGGTTTGGGGGCACAAAAGGAGCAAAACCAGGGGGAAAATGGGGGGTTTGGGGGAACAAAAGGGGGGAAAATGGGGGCAAAAAAGGGGGAAAACAGGGGGTTTGGGGGCAAAGTCGGGGGGCTTGGGGGCACAAAAGGGGTTCTGGGCAAAGGGGGGCTTGGGGGGGCCAAAGAGGGGGAAAGGATGGGCAAAGGCAGGTGACAGGGACAGCTTGGGGACAATGGGGTGTCACAGGGGACACAAGGGGGGAGCAGCAGTGGGGAGGGGGGCGGGCAGGGAGGTGACACGGCCAGAGCACACAGGTGACACACAGAGGGACACAGAAGGACAGTGACACACCCCCGTTTATTGCCATGGTGACACCCCAAACACACAGGGTCACACGCCAGGGTCACCAGTGTCCCCCCAGGATTGGTCACTGCAGGGTCACTCCAGGGTCCCCAGGACTGGTCACTGCAGGGTCCCCAGTGCCGGTCACTCCAGTGTCCCCAGGACTGGTCATTTCAGGGTCACAGCCCCAGTGTCCCCAGGACCGGTCACTCCAGGGTCACTCCAGGGTCCCCAGGACTGGTCACTCCAGGGTCCCCAGGATTGGTCACTGCAGGGTCACTTCAGTGTCCCCAGGACTGGTCACTGCAGGGTCCCCAGGACTGGTCACTGCAGGGTCACTCCAGTGTCCCCAGGACTGGTCACTGCAGGGTCACTCCAGTGTCCCCAGGACTGGTCACTCCAGTGTCCCCAGGACCGGTCACTGCAGGGTCCCCAGGACTGGTCACTGCAGGGTCACTCCAGTGTCCCCAGTGTCCCTCCAGGATTGGTCACTGCCCCAGTGTCCCCAGGACTGGTCACTGCAGGGTCACAGCCCCAGTGTCCCCAGTGTCCCCAGGACTGGTCACTCCAGGGTCCCCAGGACTGGTCATTTCAGGGTCACAGCCCCAGTGTCCCCAGGATTGGTCACTGCAGGGTCATTCCAGTGTCCCCAGTGTCTCCCCAGGATTGGTCACTCCAGGGTCACTGCAGGGTCCCCAGGACTGGTCACTACAGGGTCCCCAGGACTGGTCACTGCAGGGTCACAGCCCCAGTGTCCCCAGGACTGGTCACTGCAGTGTCCCCAGGACCGGTCACTGCAGTGGTGTGATGCTGCAGCCCCCAGGGGTCAGTTGGTCACCACAGGGTCCCCCAGGTCACTCGGCCATGGCAGTGTCCCCACGGTGTCCCCACAGTGGTCACTGTGCCATGGCAGTCCCTGTTCCACAGCCATGTCCCCACAGTGGTCACTCTGGTCAGTGACTGCTCCACGGTGCTGTCCTGGTGTCCCCACAGTGGTCACTCTGGTCAGTGACTGCTCCATGGCAGTGTCCTGGTGTCCCCACAGTGGTCACTGTGGTCAATGACTGTTCTATAGTGGTCACTATGGTCACTGTGCCATGGTGGTGTCTCTGCAGCAGTCACTGCTCGGTGGCAATGTCCCCTTAGTGTCCCAGTGGTCAGTCACTGTGCCATGGCAGTGTCTCTGCTGGTCACTCTGGTCACTGTGCCATGGCAATGTCCCCATGGTGGTCACTGTGCTGGTCACTGCTCCATGGCAGTGTCCTGGGGCGGTCACTGCGGTCACTCAGTGCTCCATGGCAGTGTCCTGGGGCGGTCACTGTGGTCACTCAGTGCTCCATGGCAGTGTCCTGGGGTGGTCACTCAGTGCTCCATGGCAGTGTCCTGGTGGTCACTGTGGTCACTCAGCACTCCATGGCAGTGTCCTGGGGCGGTCACTGCGGTCACTCAGTGCTCCATGGCAGTGTCCTGGGGCGGTCACTCAGCGCTCCATGGCAGTGTCCTGGGGCGGTCACTGTGGTCACTCAGTGCTCCATGGCAGTGTCCCTGGGGTGGTCACTCAGTGCTCCATGGTGGTGTCCTGGGGTGGTCACTCAGTGCCCCATGGCAGTGTCCTGGCTGTCACTCAGTGCTCCATGGCGGTGTCCTGGCGCAGCCTGGCCCTCACCACGCTGTCCAGCACGGCGTGCAGCCCCTGGCAGGCGGCCTGGGCAGCGTCCAGCACGGGCCGCAGCCGCTCCTGGTGCAGGCGGGCACTGAGCTGGCACAGGGCCAGCTGCCCGCTGCCCGCCACCGTGGCCACGGCCAGCCTGGGGCCCCCGGCCGCCTCCTCGGCCGCGCTCAGGTCACTCAGGGCCACCGGGGGCCCGGCCGGGGGCTCGGCCAGCCCGGCCGACCCGGCCACCACGGCCCCGCGCAGCGCCACGCCCGCGTCCAGCAGCGCCAGCCCCGCCGCGCTCACGCTGGCACCGAGCTCACCGCCATCGGCCTGGAGAACCTGGGGAAACAGGGTCAGGGTCACCCCAAAATATCCCTAAATATCCCCAAAATCCCACAGATCCTATGTGCCCCAGCCTGGCTGTGCTCACGCTGGCACCGAGCTCGCCTCCGTCAGCCTGGAGAACCTGGGGGAAACAGGGTCAGGGTCACCCCAAAATGTCCCTAAATATCCCCTATAACATCCCAAAATCCCACAGATCCTATGTGCCCCAGCAGGGCCAGCCCCGCTGTGCTCACACTGGCACCAAGCTCACCACCATCGGCCTGGAGAACCTGGGGGAAACAGGGTCAGGGTCACCCCAAAATGTCCCTAAATATCCCCAAAATCCCACAGATCCTATGTGCCCCAGCCTGGCCACGCCCGCGTCCAGCAGCGCCAGCCCCGCCGCGCTCACGCTGGCACCGAGCTCACCGCCATCGGCCTGGAGAACCTGGGGGAAACAGGGTCAGGGTCACCCCAAAATATCCCAAAATCCCACAGATCCTATGTGCCCCAGCAGGGCCAGCCCCGCTGCGCTCACACTGGCACCGAGCTCACCGCCATCGGCCTGGAGAACCTGGAAGAAACAGGGTCAGGGTCACCCCAAAATATCCCTAAATATCCCCAAAAAACACCCCAAAATCCCACAGATCCTATGTGCCCCAGCCTGGCTGTGCTCACGCTGGCACCGAGCTCGCCTCCATCAGCCTGGAGAACCTGGGGGAAACAGGGGTCAGGGTCACCTGAAAATAAACCCTAAACATCCCCAAACAAACCCTAAACATCCCCTAAAACACTACAGATCCCGTGTGCCCCAGCCTGGCTGTGCTCACGCTGGCCCCCAGCTTGGCCCTGTCTGCCTGGAGAACCTGCGGGGGGACAGGGGGGTCAGGACACCCCAAAACATCCCCTAAACTACCCCAAAAACACCCAAACCACCCCAAAACCCCACAGACCCCGTGTGCCCCAGCCCAGCTGTGCCCCCCTTGGCCCCCCAGCTCACCCCCATCAGCCTGGAGAACCTGGTGGGGGGTACAAGGGGTCAGGATCACCCCAAAAACACCCAAATCACCCCAAAAGATCCCAAAACACCCCAAAACACCCCCTCTAACACCCCCTCTAACACCCCAAAACCCCACAGAAGATCCCGTGTGCACTGGCTGGGCCACGCTCATGCTGGCCCCCAGCTCGCCCCCGTGCATCTTGAGGATCTGAGGGGGGACACGCGGTCAGGGACACCCCAAAATACACCCCAAACACCCCCCAAACTACCCCAAAACATCCCCTAATGCACCCCAAAATCCCACGGACCCTCTGTGCCCCAGCCTGGCCCTGCTCCCCCCCTCGCCCCCAGCTTGCCCCCGTCTACCTGCAGCACCTGTGGTCAGGGACACTCCAAAAACACCCAAATCACCCCAAAACCCCACAGACACTTGGGTGAGCACGGCCCCTCCAGGACCCCTAAATCCCCCCAGGACCCTCCAAACCCCCCCAGACTCACCTGGACGTGCACATTGACCTGGGAGTGGGGGTAGAGCTGGCTGAGCACAGCTCCCTCCGAAGGAGCCAGGACTCCCCCAAATCCTGTCATGACCCCCCAAAATCCACTCCAGGACCCCCCCAAATCCCCCCCAAAGCTGACCTGGACGTGCACGTCGATCTGTGAGCGCGGGTAGAGCTGGCTGAGCACGGCTCCCTCCAGCACTCCCTGCAGCAGCAGCACAACCCCCAAACCCCCCCAGAACACCCCCAAAAACCCCTCAGGAGCCCCCCAAACCCTCTCAGGAGCCCCCCCAAAGCTGACCTGGACGTGCACGTCGATCTGTGAGCGCGGGTAGAGCTGGCTGAGCACGGTTCCCTCCAGCACTCCCTGCAGCAGCAGCACAACCCCCAAACCCCCCCAGAACACCCCCAAAAACCCCTCAGGAGCCCCCCAAACCTTCTCAGGAGCCCCCCCAAAGCTGACCTGGACGTGCACGTCGATCTGTGAGCGCGGGTAGAGCTGGCTGAGCACGGCTCCCTCCAGCACGCCCCGCAGCAGCAGCGCTCGCTCCCCCGATCTGCGGTCGGTCCCGCCCTGCGCCGGCCGCCGGCGCCGCTCGCCGCCCCCCGCGAACGGGGCCGAGCTGCAGCGGACACTGAGCAGGGCCCGGTCCAGGGGGGCCTTGGCTCGGGACCCCCGAACCTGCGGGGGAATAATGGGCTGGGAGTGAGTGGGGGGGCTACCCACATATGGGGGGGGGAGGCTTGGCTTGGGACCCCTGAACCTGGAGGGGAAAGAGCAGAGAGTGGGGGGGGACACCCACATGGGGGGGCTGTGAGACCCCCACAGCTGGGGGGGTGAGAGAGAGAAATGGGGGGGACCCAGGACACAGAGGGAAGGGGGGCACAAATTGGGGAGGGGGAGTTTCAGAATGGGGGACCCTGAAAACCCCACGGGGAGGGGGGGCAGAGACACTGGGGGGGGGGTTCACAAGCCCTGAGGGGGTCACAAGCCCTGAGGCGGGGGGGGGGGGGGTCACAAGCCCCAGATGGAGCTCACAAGCCCCAGGAGGGAGTTCACAGGCCCTGAGGGGGAGTTTCGCAGCCCCGGGGCCCCGCTCACCTCGTGCGGGCCGTACACGGCCGCCAGCACCTTGGTGTTGCCCTGCTCCAGGTAGGCCGAGCCGTCGGCCCGGGCCAGCACCCCGAGCCGGGCCCGCACCTTGCGCAGCTCGTCCGGCCGCCGCCCGTCCGCCCGGAACCCCGCGTCCGACACCAGCTCCAGCCCCGCCATGCCGGTACCGCCGCCGGCACTGCGTGTGGGGCCGGACTACAACTCCCGGCGTGCCCCGCGCGCGGCCGTTAGTGCCCGTGCGCGCCGTGAGGTGTCGGACTACAACTCCCGGCGTGCACCGCGCGAGACGCCCGCCAATGGGAGGCACCGCCCCCCGACGCTCCCGCTGTTCAGGCCACGCCCCAATGGGATCGTCCTGCAGAGGCCGCGCCCCCTGTGACGCACTCCCACCACAGACCACGCCCCATTCTGTCACGCCCCTCCGTAGAGACCACGCCCCCACGGAGGCGGTGTCCCGGTTCCGCCCCTTGGCGCCCCCGCCCCCCGTGAGGCCCCGCCCCCTCGGCCGGTTCGCGGCACCGAACGGGACCGGGCGGCACCGGAGCGACCCCAGCGCCCCCTGGCGGAGCGGCAGCAGCCCCGGACCCCCCCCTCGGGCACGGCCGAACCTTCCCGGGCCGTCCCGGTCCTGGTGCTTGTCCCGAGCGGGCACCGCCGGCCGTCCCCGAGCGCTCGGAGCGGGTCAGAACCGGCACCGAGCCAGCGCCGAGCCCGTGTCCCACCGTCACCGAGCGGCACCGAGCGCTGAGCGGGCCGGAGCGGGCGGCTCCGCTCTGCCCGCCGCCGCTGACCCCTGTCCGGCCAGCGCTGACCTTGCCCAGGCCGGTCCGGACCGGCCCCGAGCGCCGCCGCTCCCCGATCCCGGTACCGATCCCGGTACCGGTGCCAGCCCGGGTCCCACCATGGCGGCCCCGCTCGGCCCCGCCGGGTTCCAGTTCGCCATCGACCGCGGCGGGACCTTCACGGACGTGTTCGCCCGCTGCCCCGGCGGCCGCGTCCGCGTCCTCAAGCTGCTCTCCGAGGACCCCGCGTACCGGGACGCGCCCACCGAGGGCATCCGCCGCGTCCTGCAGGAGGTGCGGGCCCCGGGGACAGCGGCGGGGGGACAACGGGGGGGACACAACGGGGGGGACACAACGGGACCCCCGAGGAACGGCGGGGACACAGCGGGGACAGCGAGGGGACAGCGCGGGGGGAGAGCGGGGGGACCCCCGGGGATCGGCGGGAACAGCGGGGGGACACAACGGGACCCCCGGGGATCGGCGGGAACAGCGGGGGAACGCAACGGGACCCCCGGGACCCCCAGAGCATGGCGGGGACACAGCGGGGACACAACAGGACCCCCGGGACCCCCAGGCCACGGCGGGGAAGCAGGGAGACCCCCGGGACCCCCCCCCAAGAGCCCACCGGGAACATCCCAGGACACCACATGGGGGGAGACCCCCCCCAGAACACGCCCCAGGACCCCCTTCTAGGAACCTCCCAGACCCCCATAGGCCGCCCCCAAGTACCCTCGAGACCCCCCCCCTCTCCTGGGGACCCCCCCTCAGGAACTCACCGGGACCCCCGGGACCCCTGAACCCACTGGGAACCCCCCCCCAAATGCCTCTCCCAGGGACCCCCGTGGGAAATCCCGGGACCCTCCCTCCAAGGGGACCCCCCCAGCCCCCTCCGGGCCCCCCCCCCCACCTGCCCCAGCCCTGGGCCTGCCTGGACCCCCCTGCCCCCACCCCGTGCTGGGGGTCCCCAAGTGGGTCTGGGGGTCCCCAGGTGGGTCTGGGGTCCCCAAATAGGTCTGGGGTCCTGCAGTGGGTCTGGGGTCCCCAAATAGGTCTGGGGTCCCCAAGGAGATCTAGGGGTCCCCAAATGGGTCTGGGGTCCTGCTGTGGGTCTGGGGTCCCCAAATGGGTCTGGAGGTCCCAGATGGGTCTGGGGGTCCCTAAATGGGTCTGGGGCTCAGTTTTAGGGTCCTGCAGGAGCTGAGGGTGTTGCTTTGGGTCTGGGGTCGACCTGGTGAATTTTGAGGGGTTCCCACAGGAGCTGGGGGTGGTCTGGGATCCCACAGGTGAATTTTGGGACCTCTCTGGGTGAATTTTGGGGATCTTGGGTGAATTTTGGGGTCCCGCAGGAGCTGGGATCCAGTGGATCCAATGGGGCTGGGGGTCCCCGAATGGGTCTGGGGTCTCTGGATGAATTTTGGGGATCCCGGGTGAATTTTGGGGTCCCGCAGGAGCTGGGGGTGCCCCGAGAGGAGCCCCTGGATGGATCTGGGATCCAGTGGATCCGCATGGGCACTGGGGGGGCTGTGGGTACCTGAATGGCGCTGTGGGTCCCCGAATGGGTCTGGGGTCTCTCTGGGTGAATTTTGGGGTCTCCCTGGTGAATGTTGGGGTCCCACAGGAGCTGGGGGTGGCGCTGCCCCCGGGGAGGAGCCCCTGGATGGATCCCGGATCCAGTGGATCCGCATGGGCACCACGGTGGCCACCAACGCGCTGCTGCAGCGCCGGGGGGAGCGCGCGGCCCTGGCCGTGACCCGCGGCTTCCGACACCTGCTGCACATCGGCACCCAGGCCCGGCCCCGCCTCTTCGACCTGGTGAGAGCACACCTGGCACAGCTGGGCACACCTGGGCACACCTGGGTACACACCTGAACCCCCAAACCCAGCCCCAAACCCACCCCGACACCTGCTGCACATCGGCACCCAGGCCCGGCCCCGCCTCTTCGACCTGGTGAGAGCACACCTGGCACACCTGGGCACACCTGGGCACACCTGGGTACAGCTGGGTACACCTGGGTACACACCTGGGTACACCTGGGTACACACCTGTACCCCAAACCCACCCCAACACCTGCTGCACATCGGCACCAGGCCCGGCCCCGCCTCTTCGACCTGGTGAGAGCTCACCTGGCACAGCTGGGCACACCTGGGTACAGCTGGGCACACACCTGGGTACAGCTGGGCACACACCTGGCACACCTGGGCACAGCTGGGCATACCTGGATACACACCTGGGCACACACCTGGCACACTCCTGGGCACACACCTGGCACACTCCTGGGCACACCTGGCACACCTGGGCACACACCTGGGCACAGCTGGGCACACCTGGGTACACACCTGGGCACACACCTGTACATACACCTGGGCAGATCTGGCACACCTGGGTACACACCTGTGCCCTCACCTGTTCCTATGTTCCCTCATCTGGTCCTGTCCCCTCACTGACCCCCCTTGGTGACACACACGGTGTCCCCTCGTTGTCCCCCACGCTGACCCACGTGATGTCCCACGCGGTGTCCCCTCGGTGACCCGTGGCCGCCTGGCACGGGGCTGGCACCTCCTGTGACCGGCACCGTGTCCCGTGACCGGCACCGTGTCCCCGTGTGCCCCACGCTGTCCCTGTGTGTCCCCCCAGGCTGGCACCGTGTGTCCTGTGCCCCACAGTGTCCCCACCACCCTGTCCCTGTGTCCCCCTCCCCGTGTGCCCCATGCTGTCCCCGCCTGAGCTGGCACTGTGTCCCTGTGTGCCCCACACTGTCCCTGTGTGTCCCCCCAGGCTGGCACCGTGTGTCCTGTGCCCCACAGTGTCCCCTCCTGAGCTGGCACCGTGTCCCTGGGTGTCCCACGCTGTCCCTGTGTGTCCCCCCCAGGCTGGCACCGTGTGTCCTGTGCCCCACAGTGTCCCCAACCACCCTGTCCCTGTGTCCCCTCTCAGGCTGGCAGCCTGTCCCCGTGTGCCCCACAGTGTCCCCTCCTGAGCTGGCACCATGTCCCTGTGTGTCCCCCCCAGGCTGGCACTGTGTGTCCTGTGCCCCACAGTGTCCCCTCCTGGGGCTGGCGCCATGTTCCCTGTGCCCCACACTGTCCCCACCACCCTGTCCCTGTGTCCCCTCTCAGGCTGGCACCGTGTCCCCATGTGCCCCACAGTGTCCCCCCCACCCTGTCCCTGTGTCCCCTTCTGAGCTGGCACCATGTGCCCCATGCTGTCCCCTTCTCAGGCTGGCACCGTGTCCCCTGTGTGCCCCACAGTGTCCCCAACCACCCTGTCCCTGTGTGCCCTCCCCGTGTGCCCCACAGTGTCCCCTCCTGAGCTGGCACCATGTCCCTGTGTGTCCCCGTGTGTCCCCACCACCCTGTCCCTGTGTACCCTTCTGAGCTGGCACCATGTGCCCCATGCTGTCCCCTCTCAGGCTGGCACTGTGTGTCCTGTGCCCCACAGTGTCCCCTCCTGGGGCTGGCACCGTGTCCCCGTGTGCCCACGCTGTCCCTGCTGTGGGGCTCAGTATCCCCCCAGTGTCCCCTGTGTCCCCCCCCCAGTTTCTCCTCACAGTGTCCCCTGTCCCGTGTCCCCCTGTGTCCCTCCCTGTGTCCCCTGTCCCGAGTCCGTGACCACGTGTTGGGCCCGGCTGGGTGTCCTTGGCGTGTCCTTGGCATGTCCTTGGCGTGTCCCCCTGTCCCTGTCCCGTGAGCGGGGCCAGGCTCGGGGCCAGGCCTGGCCCGTGGCCAGCAGAGGCGGGGGACACGGGACAAAGGACAGGGGACACAGAGGGACACGGTGGGGGACAAGGGACAGGGGGACACAGGACACAAGAGACACAGGACACAAGGGACACGGGACAGGGGGACATGGGGACACGGTGGGGGACAAGGGACACAGGACACAAGGGACACAGGACACAAGGGACACGGAGGACATGGGGAGGACAGGACACGGGGGGGGATAAGGGACAGGGGACCGGGGACATGGGGGGGGACACAAGACATGGGGGACACAGGGAAGGGGACACGGGACAGGGGACATGGGGACACCGGCGGGCGGACACGGTGGGGACACAGTGGGGACACAGTGAGGACACAGTGTGTCTGGGGGGTGACGTCCTTGTGCCAGCCCAATTTGTCCTTGTGCCACCCTGGTGCCATGGCCGTGTCCTCCCTGTCCTGTCCCAGAGCTGTCCCAGTGCCACCCCGATGCCACTCCCGTGCTGTCCCAGTGTCCCCTGGTGCTGTCCCTATCCTGCTCCTGTCCCCTGGCTGCCATCGCAGTGCCACCCCAATGCCACTGCGGCCCTCCCCAGTGCCACCCTCATGTCCTGTCCCACCCCAGTCCTGTCCTGGTGCCACCCCGCTTCTGTCCCTGTCCTGTCCCTGTCCCATCCCACTCTTGTCCCAGTGCCATCCTGTCCCTGTCCCAGCCCCAGCTCCGGTGCCACCCCACTCCTGTCCTGGTGCCATCCCAATCCTGTCCCAGTGCCACCCCTGTCCCTATTCTGTCCCAATCCTGTCCCTGTCCCAATCCCTGTCCCAGTGCCACCCCTGTCCCTATTCTGTCCCAGTCCTGTCCCTGTCCCACCCCAGTCCTGTCCCTGTCCCAATCCTGTCCCTGTCCCAATCCTGTCCTGGTGCCACCCCATTCCTGTCCCTTTCTTGTCCCTGTCCTATGCAAGTCCCATCCCAGTGCCACCCCAATCCTGTCCCTGTCCTGTCATTGTCCCACCTCACTCCTGTCCTGGTGCCAACCCACTCCTGTCCCTGTCCTGTCCCAGTCCCATCCCAGTGCCACCCCCCTCCTGTCCCGTCCCTGTCCCAATTCTGTCCCAGTCCTGTCCCTGTCCCACCCCAGTCCTGTCCCACTCCTGTCCCAGTGCCATCCTGGCTCTGTCCCAGTCCCATCCCAGTGCCAGTCCTGTCCTGGTGCCATCCCAATCCTGTCCCCTTCCTGTCCTGGTGCCACCTCACTCCTGTCCCTGTCCTGTCCCAGTCCCATCCCAGTGCCACCCCACTCCTGTCCTGGTGCCATCCCAATCCTGTCCCAGTGCCACCCCTGTCCTGTCCCTGTCCCAATCCTGTCCCTGTCCCAATCCTGTCCCAGTGCCACCCCTGTCCCTATTCTGTCCCAATCCTGTCCCTGTCCCACCCCAGTCCTGTCCCTGTCCCAATCCTGTCCTGGTGCCACCCCATTCCTGTCCCTTTCTTGTCCCTGTCCTATGCCAATTCCATCCCAGTGCCACCCCATTCCTGTCCCTGTCCCACCTCACTCCTGTCCTGGTGCCATCCCAATCCTGTCCCCTTCCTGTCCCGGTGCCACCTCACTCCTGTCCCTGTCCTGTCCCAGTCCCTTTCCAGTGCCACCCCACTCCTGTCCTGCTGTCACCCCTGTCCCTGCCCTGTCCCTGTTCTGTCCCACTCCTGTCCTGGTGCCACCCCGCTCCTGCCCCGTGTCCCCCGCGGTGTCACTGGGCTGATGTCACCCCGTGTCCCCCGGTGTCCCCACAGGAGGTGGCCATGCCCGACGTGCTCTACGAGGAGGTGATCGAGGTGGACGAGCGGCTGATCCCGGAGCAGGAGGATTGTCACCTGCCCGGGAGTGACAGCTGGCCCCGGGTGCAAGGTGGGTGTCACCATTGTCACCATTGTCACCTCCCCGGGAGTGACAGCTGGCCCCGGGTGCAAGGTGGGGTGTCACCATTGTCACCATTGTCACCATTGTCACCTCCCCGGGAGTGACAGCTGGCCCCGGGTGCAAGGTGGGTGTCACCATTGTCACCATTGTCACCATTGTCACCATTGTCACCTCCCTGGGAGTGACAGCTGGCCCCGGGTGCAAGGTGGGTGTCACCATTGTCACCATTGTCACCATTGTCACCTGTGGGGCAGTGACAGCTGGCCCCGGTACAAGGTGGGACACTGTGCTGGTGGCACTGGGGGTGGCACCTGGCCGGTGACACTCCTGTCACCGTCCCCTGCCGCTCTTTGAGGTGGCACCAGGCAGTTTTGGGGGTCTCAGGGCTCTTGGTGACACTGTGACTGTCCCCATGTCCCCTAGGTGTGTCCGGTGTCACTCTCCTGGTGCAGTGGCTGTCAGAGGTGTAGGTGACACTGTCCCTGTCCCCGTGTCCCCCCAGGTGTGTCCAGTGTCACTCTCCTGGAGCAGTGTGGCTGTCCCAGGGCTGTAGGTGACACTGTCCCTCTCCCCAGGTGTGTCTGGTGTCACCCTCCTGGGTGACACCAGGAGCTCTCAGTGACACTGTGACACTGCTGTCCCCATGTCCCCAGGTGTCTCAGGTGTCACCCTTCTGCAGCAGGGGGGTTTAGGGCTGTAGGTGACGCTGTCCCTGTCCCCAGGTGTCTCGGGGTGTCACCCTGCTGCTGCAGTGGGACTGTCCCAGGGCTGTAGGTGACACAGTGACACTGTCCCTGTCCCCTCAGGTGTCTCGGGTGTCACTCTCCTGCTGCTGCAGCAGGAAGGTTTAGGGGCTGTAGGTGACACAGTGACACTGTCCCCATGTCCCCAGGTGTCTCGGGTGTCACCCTGCTGCTGCAGGGACTGTCCCAGGGCTCTCGGTGACACAGTGACACTGTCCCTGTCCCCTCAGGTGTCTCGGGTGTCACCCTGCTGCTGCAGCAGGAAGGTTTAGGGGCTGTAGGTGACACAGTGACACTGTCCCTGTCCCCAGGTGTCTCAGGTGTCACCCTGCTGCTGCAGTGGGGCTGTCCCAGGGCTGTAGGTGACACTGTGACACTGCTGTCCCCATGTCCCCCTCAGGTGTCTCAGGTGTCACCCTGCTGCTGCAGGGACTGTCCCAGGGCTCTCGGTGACACAGTGACACTGTCCCTGTCCCCTCAGGTGTCTCGGGTGTCACCCTGCTGCTGCAGCAGGAAGGTTTAGGGCTCTCAGTGACACAGTGACACTGTCCCCATGTCCCCAGGTGTCTCAGGTGTCACCCTGCTGCTGCAGGGACTGTCCCAGGGCTCTCGGTGACACTGTGACTGTCCCCTGTCCCCATGTCCCCAGGTGTGTCCAGTGTCACCCTGCTGCAGGGACTGTCCCAGGGCTCTCGGTGACACTGTGACGCTGTCCCTGTCCCCTCAGGTGTCTCGGGTGTCACCCTGCTGCTGCAGTGGGGCTGTCCCAGGGCTCTCGGTGACACAGTGACACTGCTGTCCCCATGTCCCCAGGTGTCTCGGGTGTCACCCTTCTGCAGCAGGGGGGGTTTAGGGCTGTAGGTGACACTGCTGTCCCCTCAGGTGTCTCGGGTGTCACTCTCCTGGTGCAGCGGCACTGTCCCAGGGCTGTAGGTGACACTGTCCCCATGTCCCCAGGTGTGTCCAGTGTCACCCTGCTGCTGCAGCGGCGCTATCCCAGGGCTCTCGGTGACACTGCTGTCCCCATGTCCCCAGGTATCTCAGGTGTCACTCTCCTGCTGCAGGGGCTGTCCCAGGGCTCTCGGTGACACTGTGACTGTCCCCTGTCCCCATGTCCCCAGGTGTGTCCAGTGTCACCCTGCTGCAGGGACTGTCCCAGGGCTGTAGGTGACACAGTGACACTGTCCCTGTCCCCTCAGGTGTCTCGGGTGTCACCCTGCTGCAGTGGGGCTGTCCCAGGGCTGTAGGTGACACTGTCCCTGTCCCCCCAGGTGTCTCGGGTGTCACTCTGCTGCTGCAGCGCCCTCTGGATGTGTCGCGGCTCCGCGCGGACCTGGAGCGGCTCCTGGCCCGCGGCATCCGGAGCCTGGCGGTGCTGCTGCTGCACAGCTACGCGTGAGAAACGGGGGGCTTGGGGGGATTTGGGGGGATTTTTGGGGATTTGGGGGATCCTGGGGGACTTTGGGGGTCCTGATGGTGCTGCTGCACAGCTACGCGTGAGAAACGGGGGGTTTGGGGGGATTTGGGGGGTCCCTGAGTGTCCCCAGAGCATGGTGCTGCTGCTGCTGCACAGTGATGTGTGAGAAATGGGAGGTTTGGGGGGATTTTTGGGGATTTGGGGGGTCTTGGGGGGCTTTGGGGGTCCTGATGGTGCTGCTGCTGCACAGCTACGCATGAGAAATGGGGGCTTTTTGGGGGGGTTTGGGGGGTCCTGGGGGGTTTGGGGGGTCCCTGAGTGTCCCCAGAGCGTGGGTGCTGCTGCTGCTGCACAGTGATGTGTGAGAAATGGGAGGTTTGGGGGGATTTGGGGGGTCCTGGGGGCTTTGGGGGGTCCTGATGGTGCTGCTGCTGCACAGCTACGCATGAGAAATGGGGGTTTGGGGGGTCCTGGGGGGGATTTGGGGGGTCCTGGGGGGTTTGGGGGGATTTTGGGGTATTTGGGGGGTCCTGGGGGACTTTGGGGCTCCTGATGGTGCTGCTGCTGCACAGCTATGTGTGAGAAACGGGGGTTTGGGGGGTCCTGGGGGATTTGGGGGGATTTTGGGGTATTTGGGGGGTCCTGGGGGGCTTTGGGCCTCCTGATGGTGCTGCTGCTGCACAGCTATGTGTGAGAAACGGGGGGTTTGGGGGGATTTGGGGGGTCCTGAGGGGTTTGGGGGGTCCTGAGGGGTCCTGGTGGTGCTGCTGCTGCACAGCTATGCGTGAGAAAGGGGAGGTTTGGGGGGATTTGGGGCTCCTGAGGGGTTTGGGGGGGTCCCTGAGGGGTTTGGGGGTCCCCAGAGCCTGGCGGTGCTGCTGCTGCACAGCTACATGTGAGAGAAATGGGGGGATTTGGGGGGATTTGGGGGGTCCTGGGGGGTTTGGGGGGGTCTCTGAGTGTCCCCAGAGCGTGGTGGTGCTGCTGCTGCACAGTGATGTGTGAGAGAAATGGGGGCTTTGGGGGGATTTGGGGGGTCCTGAGGGGTTTGGGGGGTCCTGAGGGGTCCTGGCGGTGCTGCTGCTGCACAGCTATGTGTGAGAAATGGGAGGTTTGGGGGGATTTTTGGGGATTTGGGGGGTCCTGGGGGGCTTTGGGGGTCCTGATGGTGCTGCTGCACAGCTATGCGTGAGAAAGGGGAGGTTTGGGGGGGTTTGGGGGGTCCTGAGGGGTCCTGGTGGTGCTGCTGCTGCACAGCTACGCGCGAGAAATGGGGGATTTGGGGGGGTTTCGGGGGTCCTGGGGGGGTTTGGGGGCTCCTGATGGTGCTGCTGCACAGCTATGCATGAGAAATGGGGACTTTAGGGGGGATTTTTGGGGATTTGGGGGGATTTGGGGGGTCCTGGGGGGGGTTGGGGGTCACCAAAGCCTGCTGCTGCACAGCTACGTGTGAGAGAAACGGGGATTTGGGGGGATTTGGGGGTCCCTGAGGGGATTTGGGGGGTCCCAGGTGCCCCCCCCAGATGACCCATAGATGCCCCCCAGGTGTCTCAGGTGCCCCCCAGGTGTCCCCAAATTGACTCAGGTACTCCCCAGGTGCCCCCCAGGTGTTTCTCAGGTGCCCCCCAACCTAAAATCCCCAAAGATCCAAAAAAATGTCCAAAAACTCACCTGAAAACCATGGAAATGGAGGAATTCGGGCAAAAGGGGAAACTCAGCCCAAATTCAGCCCAAATTTACCCCAAATTCTGCCCAAAATTCAGCCCCAGTTCAGCCCAAAAGCACCCCAAACTCAGCCCCAAATTCAGCCCCAATTCGCCCCAAATTCTGCCCAAATTCTGCCCAAAATTCAGCCCAAATTCACCCCAAAAGCAGCCCAAACTCAGCTCCAAATTCAGCCCCAATTCGCCCCAAATTCAGCCCAAAACTCAGCCTCAAATTCACCCCAAAACTCAGCCCCAAATTCACCCCAAAACCAGTCAAAATTCAGCCCCAATTCAGCCCAAAATCAGCCTCACCACCCGGGGCGTTAATTAGCACCGATTTGGCGTTAATTAGCATCAAATTTGCGTTAATTAAGCCCAATTCGTGTTAATTAAAGTCATTAATTTCACCTGGAAACGCGGAACCCTGGGATGGGAGGAGCCCAGAAAATTCCGGGAAAGGGGGGAAAGGAAAGAGCTGAAAAATTAGGAGAAAAGGGGGAAAATGCCCAGATTTGGGTCTGGATATTGAAAAAAAAAGAGAAAAATCCACAAATTGGGTTCAGGCGGTAAAAAAAAAAAATTAAAAAAGAGAGGGGGAAAAAAGGCCAAATTTGGGTTCCGGGGCTCAAAAAATGAGGAAAAAAAGAGGAAAAAAAAGAGAGGAAAATTCCCAGGTTTGGGTTCTGGAGGTCAAAAAAAGAGAGGGGAAAAAAGAGAGAAAAAAGCTCAAATTTGGATTCTGTAGCTCAAAAAAAAGTAGAAAAAGAGAAAAGAGAGTAAAATCCCCAAATTAGGGTTCCCAAATTAGGAGATGAATAAAGAGAGGAAAAAAAGAGAGGAAAGCCCCCAGATTTGGGTTCTGGAGCTCAAAAAATGTAGAAAAAGATAGAAAAAGAGGGAAAAGCCCAAATTTGGGTTCAGAAGGTCAAAAAAAGAGGGAAAAAAAAGAGGAAAATAAGAGGAAAATGCCCAGTTTTGGGTTCAGAAGGTCAAAAAAAAAAGGCAGAAAAAGAGAAAAGAGAAAAGAAAGGGAAAAGCTCAGATTTGGGTTCTGGAAGTGACAAAAAGATTTAAAAAGAGAGAAAAAGAGAAAAGAGAGAGAAAAAAATCCCAAATTTGGGTCCTGGAGGTCAAAAAAAGAGAGAAAAAAAGAGGAAAATGCCCAGATTTGGGTTCTAGAGGTAAAAAAGAAAAAAAAAAGAAAAAAAAAGGCAGAAAAATAAAAAGAGAAAAGAAAGAGAAAAGGTCAGATTTGGGTTGTGGAGGTGAAAAAAAGATTTAAAAAGAGAGAAAAAGAGAAAAGAGAGAAAAAAATTTGCAGATTTGGGTTCTGAAGGTGAAAAAATGAGGGAAAAAAAGTGAGGAAAAAGCCCAGATTTGGGTTCTGGAGCTCGAAAAAAGAGAAAAATCTCCAGATTTGGGTTCAGGAGGTAAAAAAAACCAAAAAAGATTTAAAAACAGAGAAAAAAAATCCCAGATTTGGGTCCTGGAGGTGAAAAAAAGAGAAGAAAAAAAAAAGGGAGGAAAATGCCCAGATTTGGGTTCAGGAGGTCAAAAAAAGAGAGAAAAAGAGAGGAAAAAGCTCAAATTTGGGTTCTGGAGGACAAAAAGAGAGAAAAAAATGGGAAAAAGCCCAAATTTGGGGTCTGGGAGCCCAGGGCAGGGCAGGGTCTGGCCTGGTCACTCCTGGTCACTCCTGGTCACTTGTGGTCACTCCTGGTCACTCTGGTCACTCATTGGTCACTCCTGGTCACTCCTGGTCACTCTGGTCACTGTGGTCACTCCTGGTCATTCCTGGTCACTTGTGGTCACTTGTGGTCACTCCTGGTCACTCCTGGTCACTCTGGTCACTTGTGGTCATTCCTGGTCACTGTGGTCACTCCTGGTCACTCTGGTCACTCTGGTCATTCCTGGTCACTCCTGGTCACTCCTGGTCATTCCTGGTCATTCTGGTCACTGTGGTCACTCCTGGTCACTCCTGGTCACTGTGGTCACTCCTGGTCATTCCTGGTCATTCCTGGTCACTGTGGTCACTCCTGGTCACTCTGGTCACTCTGGTCACTGTGGTCACTCCTGGTCACTCCTGGTCACTCTGGTCACTCCTGGTCACTCTGGTCACTGTGGTCACTGTGGTCACTCTGGTCACTTGTGGTCACTGTGGTCACTCTGGTCACTTGTGGTCATTCCTGGTCACTCCTGGTCACTCCAGTCACTCCTGGTCATTCCTGGTCACTCCTGGTCATTCCTGGTCACTCCTGGTCACTCCTGGTCACTCCTGGTCACTCCGGTCACTGTGGTCACTCTGGTCACTCTGGTCACTCTGGGGGGTTAGCCCCACCCCCCACTGGCCTGATTGATTGATCGATTGATTGATGGATGGATTGGCTGATCGATTTACTGATTGATTGATTGATTGATCACCTGAATGATTGATTGACTGATTGGCTGTTTGATTGATTGATTGATCAGCTGATTGATTGATTGGCTGATTGATTGATCAATTGATTGATTGGCTGATTGACTGATTGATCGATTGATTGGCTGATTGATTGATTGACAGCTCTGCAGCTGGGGTTGGGGGGTCACACCAGGTCACACAGGTGTTCCCAGGTGACACAGGTGTGACACAGGTGACACTCAGGTGTCCCCTCACAGGTGGCTGGGTCACGAGGAGTAGGATGGGTTTGGGGTACAGGTGTGGCACAGGTGACCCAGGTGTGACCCAGGTGTGACCCAGGTGTGACCCAGGTGTCCCCTCACACGTGTCCAGGTCACGAGCAGCAGGTGGGGGCCCTGTCCCTGTCATTCTCCCAGGTGGAGTTTGGGGCACAGGTGTGGCACAGGTGTGGCACAGGTGTAACTCAGGTGTTCCCCAGGTGTGACCCAGGTGTCCCACTCTCACAGGTGGCCAGGTCACAAGGAGCAGGTGGGGTTTGGGGTACAGGTGTACCCCAGGTGTTCCCCAGGTGTTCCCCAGGTGTTCCCCAGGTGTAACCCAGGTGTGACCCAGGTGTGTCCCACCCTCACAGGTGGCCGGGTCACGAGCAGCAGGTGGGGTTTGGGGTACAGGTGTTCCCCAGGTGTTCCCCAGGTGTGACTCAGGTGTCCCCCTCTCACAGGTGGCCGGGTCACGAGCAGCAGGTGGGGTTTGGGGTACAGGTGTTCCCCAGGTGTTCCCCAGGTGTTCCCCAGGTGTTCCCCAGGTGTGTCCCCCTCTCACAGGTGGCCGGGTCACGAGGAGCAGGTGGGGGCCCTGGCGCTGTCCCTGGGCTTCTCGCAGGTGTCCCTGTCCTCGGCCGTGGCCGGCATGGCGCGGGCGGTGCCGCGGGGGCTCACGGCCTGCGCCGACGCCTACCTGAGCCCAGGTGTGCGCAGGTACCTGCACGGCTTCTGCCAGGGATTCCGGGACGGGCTCAAGGTGAGCGGGGCTGAAATGGGACAGACTGACACGGGACAGACACGGGACAGACCTGGGACAGACACAGGATAGAGCAGGGACTGACCTGGGACTGACCCGGGCCTACCTGAGCCCAGGTGTGCGCAGGTACCTGCACGGCTTCTGCCAGGGATTCCAGGACGGGTTAAAGGTGAGCTGGGCTGAAATGGGACAGACTGACCCGGGACAGACACGGGACAGACCTGGGATAGGGCTGGGATAGGGCAAGGACTGACCCAGGCCTACCTGAGCCCAGGTGTGCACAGGTACCTGCAGAGGTTCTGCCAGGGATTCCGAGACGGGCTCAAGGTGAGCGGGGCTGAAACGGGACAGACACGGGACAGACACGGGACAGACCTGGGACAGACACAGGATAGGGCAGGGACTGACCTGGGACTGACCCAGGCCTACCTGAGTCCAGGTGTGCGCAGGTACCTGCACGGCTTCTGCCAGGGATTCCAGGACGGGTTAAAGGTGAGCTGGGCTGAAATGGGACAGACTGACCCGGGACAGACACGGGACAGGGCTGGGATAGGGCAGGGACTGACCCGGGCCTACCTGAGCCCAGGTGTGCGCAGGTACCTGCACGGCTTCTGCCAGGGACTCCGGGATGGGCTCAAGGTGAGCGGGGACTGACTGACCTGGGATAGACCCGGGACTGACCCAGGATAGAGCAGGACAGACAAGGGACAAGGCAGGGACACTGACCCAAGATAGAGCAGGGACACTGACCCGGGACTGACCTGGGATAGGGTGGGGACACTGACCCGGGATAAAGCAGAGCCTGACCAGGACAGACCCAGAACTGACCCAGGACTGACCTGGGATAGGCCTGGGACTGACCCAGGACTGACCCGGGACTGACCCGGGACTGACCTGGGATAAGAGTGGGACAGACACGGGACAGACACGGGACAGACACGGGACAGACGCGGGACAGACACGGGGACCCCCCAGACCCTGCCGTGTGCCCCATTCCCCTCTGAGACCCCCCCCCACGGGCCCCCTCCCACCCCATGGGCCTCCCTGAGCCCCCTCCATGTCCCCCCAATTCCGCTGAGCCCCCCAGGACCCCCCTGACCCTCATGGACCCCCCCCCAATTTCCACAGGGGGTGGGGGTGCAGTTCATGGGGGGCTCTGACCCCATACTGACCCCACAGACCCCCCCAACCCCATTTCAGGGGGTCCCGGTGCTGTTCATGGGGGGCTCTGACCCCATAGACCCCATAGACCCCCCCCTGACCCCACAGACCCCTCTGACCTCCCCGTGCCCCCCCATTTCAGGGGGTCCCGGTGCAGTTCATGCGCTCGGATGGGGGGCTCTGACCCCATCGACCCCATAGACCCCCCTGACCACATAGACCCCCCCCCAACCCCATTTTCAGGGGGTCCCGTGCAGTTCATGGGGGGCTCTGACCCCACAGACCCCCCTGACCCCCCTGCCCCCCCATTTTCAGGGGGTCCCGGTGCAGTTCATGCGCTCGGACGGGGGGCTCTGACCCCATAGACCCCATAGACCCCCCCTGAACCCACAGACCCCCTCTGACCCCCCCATGCCCCATTTCAGGGGGTCCTGGTGCAGTTCATGGGGGGCTCTGACCCCATAGATCCCCCCTGACCCCACAGACCCCTCTGACCCTCCTGCCCCCCCATTTCAGGGGGGTCCCGGTGCTGTTCATGGGGGGCTCTGGCCCCACAGACCCCTCTGACCCCCCTGCCCCCCATTTCAGGGGGTCCCGGTGCAGTGCACTCAGGTCGTGCACTCAGACAGGGGGCTCTGACCCCATAGACCCCATAGACCCCCCTGACCCCATAGACCCCATAGACCCCCTGACCCCATAGCCCCCCCTGACCCCCCTGCCCCCCCATTTTCAGGGGGTCCTGGTGCAGTTCATGGGGGGCTCTGACCCCATAGCCCCCCCTGACCCCCCGTGCCCCATTTCAGGGGGTCCCGGTGCTGTTCATGGGGGACTCTGGCCCCACAGACCCCTCTGACCCCCCTGCCCCCCATTTCAGGGGGTCCCGGTGCAGTTCATGGGGGCCTCTGACCCCATAGCTCCCCCTGACCCCACAGACCCCCCTGACCCCCCGTACCCCATTTCAGGGGGTCCCGGTGCAGTTCATGCGCTCGGACGGGGGGCTCACCCCCATGGCCAGTTTCGGGGGGGCCCGGGCCATCCTGTCGGGCCCGGCCGCGGGGGTCGTGGGCTACGCCCGGACCACCTTCGACCCCCGGGATGGGACCCCCGTCATCGGCTTCGACATGGGGGGTGAGACAGGGGCCATGAGGGGGGCACAGGGGGATCGGGGCCATGAGGGGGGCACGGGGGGATCGGGGGGGATTGGGGTCTCAGGGGGATGGGGGTCCCATTGAGGGTGGGGGTCCCATTGGGATTGGGGGCACAGGGGGGTCCCATTGAGGGTGGGGGTCTGGGGGGATTAGGGGTCACAGGGGGGCAGTGGGGCTGCATTGAGGGTGGGGGTCCCATTGGGATTGGGGGTCACAGCAGGATTGGGGTCCCGGGGGTCCCATTGGGATTGGGGGCACAGGGGGGTCCCATTGAGGGTGGGGGTCCCACTGGAATTGGGGGTCTCGGGGGGATTGGGGGTCACAGTGGGGATCCCATTGAGGGTGGGGGTCCCACTGGAATTGGGGGTCTCGGGGGGATTGGGGTCACAGGGGGGCACAGGGGGGTCCCATTGAGGGTGGGGGTCCCACTGGAATTGGGGGTCTCAGGGGGATTGGGGGTCACAGTGGGGATCCCATTGAGGGTGGGGGTCCCATTGGGATTGGGGGCACAGGGGGGTCACAGGGGGATTGGGGGCATGGTGGGAGTCCCATTGAGGGTGAGGGTCCCATTGGGATTGGAGGTCCCAGGTGAGTCCTGCTGGGATTGCGGGCATGGTGGGGGTCCCGTTGAGGGTGGGGGTCCCATTGAGGGTGGGGGTCCCATTGAGGGTGGGGGTCCCGCTGGAATTGGGGGTCTCGGGGGGATTGGGGTCACGGCAGGATTGGGGTCCCAGGGGTCCCGCTAGGGTTGGGGCCACTGGGGGGTCTTGGGGGTCAGGAGGGGATTGGGGTGATGGGGGGTGGGGGTCCCATTGGTACTGGGGGTCCTGGGGGGGGGGTTCTGCTGGGATTGGGGTCACAGCAGGATTGGGGTCCCGTTGGGGTGGGGGTCCCTTTGGGATTGGGGACACGGTGGGGGTCCCATTGAGAGTGGGGTTCCCATTGGGATTGGGAGTCATGGGGGGGTCACAGGGGAATTGGGGTCATGGGGGGGGGTCCTGCTGGGGCTTGGGGTCACCGGGGGATTGGGGGTTCCTGGGTGGTCCCGCGGGGTTGGGGTCCCATTGAGGTTTGGGGTCCCATTGGGATTGGGAGCCCCACAGGGTTTGGGTTGCGGTGGTTTTGGGGTCTCTCTGGTTTTGGGGTCTGTCTGGGGCTGGGATGGGGAATTTTTGGGGTGCAGCAGTTTTGGGGTCCCCTGCAGGCACCTCGACGGACGTGAGCCATGTGAGGGGGTTTGGGGTCAGTTTTTGGGGTGCAGCAGTTTTTGGGGTGCCCCAGGCACCTCAATGGATGTGAGCCCCTTCGCGGGGCAGTTGGGATGGGATGGTTTTGGGGTGTTTTTGGTCAGTTTTGGGGCCATTTTTGGGGTGTCCCAGGCACCTCGACGGATGTGAGCCATGTGAGGGGGTTTGGGGTCTCTCTGGTCAGTTTTGGGGTCAGTTTTGGGGTCAGTTTTGGGGTCTCTCAGGCACCTCAACGGATGTGAGCTCCTTCACAGGGCAGGTGGGATGGGATGGTTTTGGGGTCAGTTTTGGGGTCATTTTTGGGGTGTCCCAGGCACCTTTACAGACGTGAGCCGTGTGAGGGGGGTTTGGGGTCTCTCTGGTCAGCTTTGGGGTCACTTTTGGGGTCATTTTTGGGGTCTCTCATGCACCTCTACAGACGTGAGCCGTGTGAGGGGGTTTGGGGTCAGTTTTTGGGGTGCCCCAGGCACCTCAATGGATGTGAGCCCCTTCGTGGGGCAGTTGGGATGGGATGGTTTTGGGGTATTTTTGGTCAGTTTTGGGGCCATTTTTGGGGTGTCCCAGGCACCTCGACAGACGTGAGCCATGTGAGGGGGTTTGGGGTCAGTTTTGGGGTGACTTTTGGGGTGTCCCAGGCACCTCGACGGATGTGAGCCATGTGAGGGGGTTTGGGGTCTCTCTGGTCAGTTTTGGGGTCAGTTTTGGGGTCATTTTTGGGGTCCCTCAGGCACCTCGACGGACGTGAGCCGCTTCGCGGGGCACTTTGAGCACGTGTTCGAGGCCAGCACGGCCGGGGTCTCCATCCAGGCCCCGCAGCTCGACATCAACACCGTGGCGGCCGGGGGGGGCTCCCGCCTCTTCTTCAGGTGGGGAGGGGGCTCCGGCTGTGGGGAGGGGGCTCCGGGGGCTGGGGTGGGGGCTACAGGAGTGGGGAGGGGGCTCCAGGAGTGGGGAGGGGGCTCCGGGAGTGGGGAGGGGGCTCCGGGACCTGGGGCTGGGGGGGGGCTCCAGGAATGGGGGGGGGCTCCCGCCTCTTCTTCAGGTGGGGAGGGGGCTCCGGGTGTGGGGAGGGGGCTCCAGATGTGGGGAGGGGGCTCCGGGGGCTGGGGGGGGCTCCAGGAATGGGGGGGCTCCCGCCTCTTCCTCAGTTGGGGAGGGGGCTCCAGGGATGAGGAGGGGGCTCCAGGTGTGGGGAGGGGGCTCCAGGTGTGGGGGGGCTGGGGAGGGGGCTGCAGGGATTGGGGGGGGGATGTGGGGAGGGGGCTCCAGGTGTGTCCCAGGGGAATGAGTGGCACCCGTGAGTGTCACTGTCCCTTCCGTGTCCCCCTGTCTGTCCCCGTGTCTGTCCCACTGTCCCCATGTTTGTCCCCATATCCCCATATCTGTCCTCCTGTCTGTCCCCATGTCTCCCTGTCTGTCCCGTCCTCGTGTCTGTCCCCCTGTCTGTCCCCGTGTCCCCATATCTGTCCCCCTGTCTGTCCCCGTGTCCCCCTGTCTGTTCCATGTCCCCATGTCTCCCTGTCTGTCCCCTGTCCCTGTGTCTGTCCCCCTGTCTGTCCCCGTGTCCCCACATCTGCCCCTATGTCTGTCCCGCTGTCCCTGTGTCCCCCTGTCTGTCCCCCTGTCTGTCCCCATGTCCCTGTGTCCCCCTGTCTGTCCCTGTGTCCCCCTGTCTGTCCCCCTGTCTGTCCCCCTGTCTGTCCCTGTGTCCCCCTGTCTGTCCCCCTGTCTGTCCCTGTGTCCCCCTGTCTGTCCCTGTGTCCCCCTGTCTGTCCCCCTGTCTGTCCCCCTGTCTGTCCCTGTGTCCCCCTGTCTGTCCCCCTGTCTGTCCCTGTGTCCCCCTGTCTGTCCCTGTGTCCCCCTGTCTGTCCCCCTGTCTGTCCCCCTGTCTGTCCCTGTGTCCCCCTGTCTGTCCCCGTGTCCCCACAGGTCCGGGCTTTACGTGGTCGGTCCCGAGTCCGCGGGCGCCCACCCGGGCCCCGCCTGTTACCGCAAGGGTGAGTCAGGGACAGCACCCGTGTCCCCATGTCCCCGTGTCCCTGTGTCCCCATGTCCCCGTGTCCCCATGTCCCTGTGTCCCCATGTCCCCGTGTCCCCGTGTCCCCGTGTCCCTGTGTCCCCATGTTCCCGTGTCCCCATGTCCCCGTGTCCCCATGTCCCTGTGTCCCCATGTCCCTGTGTCCCCATGTCCCCATGTCCCCGTGTCCCCATGTCCCTGTGTCCCCATGTCCCCGTGTCCCCCTGACACTCCCTGACCCCCCCAACACCCCCGTGTCCCTCTGCCCCCCCCGTGTCCCCAGGCTGTCCCCTGACCCCTGGTGTCCCCATTGTCCCCTGGTGTCCCCAGGCTGTCCCCAGGCTGTCCCCTGTCTCCTGACTCCCGTGTCCCCATGTCCCCATTGTCCCCATGACCCCCATGTGCCCTCTGACCCCTGGAGTCCCCGTGTACCCAGGCATTCCCTGACCTCCCCGCTCTGTGTCCCCGTGTCCCCTCTGACCCTCCTGTGTCCCCCATGTCCCCCATGTCGTCCCCGTGTCCCCAGGCTGTGCCCTGACCCCCCAATGTCCCCGTGTCCTCCTGACCCCACAATGTCCCCCTGTCCCCAGACTGTCCCCCTGACCCCCTGACCCCCGTGTCCCCTCTGACCCCCGGTGTCCTCAGGCATTCCCCTGACCCCCGCCATGTCCTGTTGTCCCCAGGCTGTCCCCTGACCCCCTCCACCATGTCCCCATGTCCCCCTGACCCCCTCCATGTCCCCAGGCTGTCCTCTGACCCCCCATGTCCCCGTGTCCCCAGGCTGTCCCCTGACCCCCCCTGACCCCCTCCATGTCCCCAGGCTGTCCCCTGACCCCCCAATGTCCCGGTGTCCCCAGGCTGTCCCCTGACCCCCATGTCCCTGTTGTCCCGGTGTCCCCGCGTCCCCCTGACCCCCCCCCATGTCCCCTGTGTCCCCTGACCCCCGCGGTGTCCCCGTTGTCCCCAGGGGGTCCCCTGACTGTCACCGACGCCAACCTGGTGCTGGGCCGGCTGCTCCCCGAGTTCTTCCCGCGCATCTTCGGTCCCGACGAGGACCAGCCCCTCTGTCGCGACACGGCCGTGGCGGCCTTCCGGGAGCTGGCCGCCACCATCCGCGCCTTCCGGGGACACGGCGGCGACACCGACGGCGGCGACACCGCTGATGGCGACACCGCTGATGGTGACAAGTTCTCGGTGGAGGAGGTGGCGCTGGGCTTCATCCGCGTGGCCAACGAGGCCATGTGCCGGCCCATCCGCGCCCTGACGCAGGTGCGGGACCCCCGAGGGGGAGACCCCCGGGCCATGGGGACGGGGACAGGGACAGGGACGCTCGGCGGGTGGCAGCGGTGTCACCCGCGGTGTCCCCTCGCTGGTGGCGGCGGCAGGCGCGGGGTCACGACGCGTCGCGACACGTGCTGGCGTGCTTCGGGGGCGCCGGGGGGCAGCACGCGTGTGCCATCGCCCGCACGCTGGGCATGGCCCGCGTCTTCATTCACAAGTACGTGAGGAGGGGGCGCGGGGAGACCCCCGGGGCGGGCAGGGGGCGTGGGGAGACCCCCGGGATGGGCAGGGAGACCCCCGGGGTGGGCAGGGGGCACAGGGACCCCTGAGATGGGCAGGGAGACCCCCGGAACGGGCAGGGGGCGTGGGGAGACCCCCGGGATGGGCAGGGAGACCCCCAGGATGGGGTGGGGGCACGGGGACCCTCTGGGTGGGCGTGGAGACCCCCGGGATGGGTGGGGGGCATGGGGAGTCCCCTGGGGTGGGTGGGGGGCGTGAGAGACCCCCAGGATGGGCAGGGAGCAGGGGCACCCTCTGGGTGGGCGCGGAGACCCCCGGGATGGGGTGGGGGGCGCGGGGACCCTCGGGGTGGGCAGGGGGCGCCAGGACCCCCAGGATGGGCAAGGGGTGCGGGGACTCCCCCAGGATGGGTGGGGAGACCCCCATGGATGGGCAGGGGGAGTGGGGACCCTCACGGTGGGCAGGGGGCTCCGGGACCCCCGTGTTGGGGTTTGGGGTGTGGGGATCCACCCTTTGGGGTGGGGGGGCGCGGGGACTCCCGTGTTGGGGGCGGGACTGGGGGGGTCCCTGGGGATTCCCCTCTGGGGGGGGGCCTGGAGACCCCGACCTCAACCCCAACCCCGACCCTGACCCTGACCCTGACCTGACCCTGACCCTGACCCCGACCCCGATCCTGACCCTGACCCCCCCGTAGGGCTGGGCCTGGGGAGGGGGCGCGGGGGGTTTGGAGTGTCCCCACCTTTGGGACGGGGTGTCCCCAGGACGGGGACAGGGATGGCCCGGGGCTGTCCTGCAATGTCCCCAGGGTGTCCCCCTGGTGACAGCGCTGTCCCCTCCCCGCAGGCACAGCGGGCTGCTCTCGGCGCTGTCCCCAGGCTGTCCCCGCAGTGTCCCCGCGGTGTCCCCTTGGTGACAGCGCTGTCCCCTCCCCGCAGGCACAGCGGGCTGCTCTCGGCGCTGGGGCTGGCGCTGGCGGACGCGGTGCAGGAGGAGCAGGAGCCGTGCGCGCTCCCGTACGGCCCGGGCGCGTTCCCGCGGCTCGAGGCGCGCCTCCGCGAGCTGGAGCGGCGCTGCCGGGACGCGCTGAGCGCTCAGGGCTTCGCACCGTGAGAGACACCGCGACACCGCGACAGCGCGACAGCGCGACAGAGCCGCGATGGGGGCGGGAGGGAGCGCCGGGGGGACAGGGGACAGCGGGGACAGCGGGGACAGCGGGGACACTGAGGATGGGGACACTGAGGACAGTGGGGACAGTGGGGATGGGGGCAGGGGACAGCGGGGACAGCAGGGACAGCGGGGATTGTGACAGGGGACAGAGGGAACACTGAGGATGGGGACACTGAGGATGGGGACAGGGGACACTGGGGACACCAGAGATGGGAGGATGGGGACATTGGGGACACCGAGGATCAGGGACAGCGGGGATCAGGGCTGAGGACAGTGGGGACAGTGGGGAGAGGGGACACTGGAGATGGGGCAGGGGACACTGGGGACAGCAGGGATGGGGACAGGGGACACTGGAGATGGGGCAGGGGACACTGAGGACAGTGGAGAGTGGGGATGGGCACAGAGGACAGTGGGGACAGAGGGGACAGCGGGGATGGGGACAGAGGACAGTGGGGACAGCGGGGAGAGGGGACACTGGAGATGGGGCAGGGGACAGCAGAGGGGACACCAGGGATGGGGACAGGGGACTGGAGACACTGGGGACACTGGAGATGGGAGGATGGGGACATTGGGGACACCGGGGATCAGGGACAGGGGACAGTGGGGATGGAGACTGGGGACAGGGAACACTGGAGATGGGAGGATGGGGACAGGGGACACTGGAGACAGTGGGGATGGGGACATCAATGACACTGGGGATCAGGGACTGGGGACACTGGGGACAGCGGGGACGGCGGGGACAGGGACACCAAAGATGGGAGAATGGGGACAGGGGACAGTGGGGACAGTAGGAATGGGGGGGTGGGGACAGGGGACACCCAGAATGGGTGACCAGGGACAGGGATGGGAGGCAGTGACACCAGGGACAGGGTGACATGGGAACAGGGTGATGAAGTGACAGCCTAGGGACAGGGTGACGCGGTGACACAGGGCCAGGGTGACACAGTGGCAGTGACACAGGGCCAGGGTGACATGGTGGTGGTGACATGGGGACAGAGTGACGTGGTGAAGTGGTGACACTGGTGACGTGGTGGCAGTGACATGGTGGCAGTGATGCAGTGCCAGGGTGACATGGTGACACGGTGCCACAGTGCCAAGGTGCCAGTGTGACGTGGTGGCAGGGTGACACGGTGACACTGGTGCCAGGGTGATGTGGTGACAGCAGGGTCAGGGTGACGTGGTGGTGGTGACACGGGGACAGGGTGACATGGTGGCAGTGACATGGTGCCAGAGTGACGCTGGTGCCAGGGTGACACAGTGACAGTGGTGACACGGTGCCCATGTGACAATGTGGGTGCCCGTGTGACAGTGTGGGTGACAGGGTGACACTGGTGACAGTGTGCCAGGGTGACAGTGTGGGTGACACAGTGCCACAGTGCCCGTGTGACAGTGTGGGTGACAGTGGTGACAGGGTGACAGGGTGCCCATGTGACATGATGACACAGTGACACAGTGCCAGGACACCCGTGTGACAGTGTGGGTGACAGGGTGACACGGTGACAGTGGTGCCACAGTGCCTGTGTGACACGGTGACACGGTGACACGGTGACACAGTGCTGGGGTGTTGGTGACATGGTCACACAGTGACAGGGTGACACCGGTGACATGGTGACATGGCAACACCGGTGACACTGGTGACATGGTGCCAGGGTGACACGGTGACACGGCGACACTGGTGACACTGGTGACACAGTGCCGGGGTGTTGGTGACATGGTGCCACTGTGCCAGGGTGACACGGTGCCGTGATGCCATGGTGACACGGTGCCAGGGTGTCGGTCCTAGGGTGACATGATGACACGGTGCCAGGGTGCCACTGTGCCAGGGTGACACGGTGACATGGTGACACTGGTGACATGGTGACACAGTGACACGGTGACATGGCAACACCGGTGACACTGGTGACATGGTGCCAGGGTGACAGGGTGACAGGGTGACACGGTGACACGGCGACACTGGTGACACTGGTGACACAGTGCCGGGGTGTTGGTGGCATGGTGCCACTGTGCCAGGGTGACACGGTGCCGTGATGCCATGGTGACACAGTGCCGGGGTGTCGGTCCTAGGGTGACATGGTGACACGGTGCCAGGGTGCCACTGTGCCAGGGTGACACGGTGACATGGCGACACTGGTGACATGGTGACACAGTGACACGGTGACATGGCAACACTGGTGACACGGTGACATGGTGACACTGGTGACACGGTGACATGGTGACACAGTGACATGGTGACATGGTGACACTGGTGACACGGTGACACTGGTGACAGGGTGCCACGGTGACATGGTGACACAGTGACACGGTGACATGGTGACACTGGTGACACAATGCCAGGTTGACACGATGCCAGGGTGCCATGGTGCCGTGGTGACACGGTGCCGGGTGTCAGTCCCAGGGTGACACTGGTGACACGGTGACAGGGTGCCACAGTGCTGGGGTGTTGGTCCCAGGGTGACATGATGACACCGGTGACACTGGTGCCACGGTGACAGGGTGACACAGTGCCGGGGTGTCGGTCCCAGGGTGACATGGTGACACAGTGACACTGGAGACACAGTGACACTGGTGCCAGGGTGCCAGGGTGCCACGGTGACAGGGTGACACAGCGCCATGGTGACACAGTGCCAGGGTGTCGGTCCCAGGGTGACATGGCGACACAGAGACACTGGTAACATGGTGACATGGCGACACTGGTGACACGGTGCCAGGGTGACACTGGTGACACAATGCCATGGTGACATGGCGACACGGTGACACTGGTGACACGGTGCCAGGGTGACACGGTGACACTGACACTGGTGCCATGGTGACACAGTGACACTGGTGACATGGTGCCAGGGTGACACGGTGACACTGGTGACATGGTGCCAGGGTGACACGGTGACACTGACACTGGTGACACAGTGACACTGGTGATACAGTGACACTGGTGCCAGGGTGCCTTGGTGACACAGTGACACTGGTGACACAGTGACACTGGTGCCAGGGTGCCAGGGTGCCACAGTGACACTGGTGACACTGGTGCCTTGGTGACACAGTGACACTGGTGCCAGGGTGCCAGGGTGACACAGTGACACTGGTGACACTGGTGCCTTGGTGACACAGTGACACTGGTGACACTGGTGCCATGGTGACACGGTGACACGGTGCCAGGGTGCCTTGGTGCCACAGTGACACTGACGACACTGGTGCCTTGGTGACACAGTGACACAGTGCCAGGGTGCAGGGTGCCACAGTGACACTGGTGACACTGGTGCCATGGTGACACGGTGACACTGACACTGGTGCCTTGGTGACACAGTGCCACAGTGCCAGGGTGACACGGTGACACTGACACTGGTGCCTTGGTGCCACAGTGACACTGGTGACACTGGTGCCTTGGTGACACAGTGCCACAGTGCCAGGGTGTGTGTGTGTGTCCCCGCAGGGCTCAGATCCGCACGGAGCCGTTCCTGCACCTGCGCTACGAGGGCACCGACTGCGCCCTGATGGTGTCAGCGCAGGGACACCCGCCCGGGCCGGGCACCTGCGGCGCCGGCGACTTCCTGGGGGCCTTCACCGAGAGGTGAGTGACACCAGGGCCACCACAGGGCCACCAGGGCCACCACCAACCTGCCACAGGGCCACCAGTGCCACCAAACCTGCCACAGGGCCACCAGGGCCATCACAGGGCCACCAAACCTGTCACAGGGCCACCGGTGCCATCACAGGGCCACCAAACCTGTCACAGTGCCCCCAGTGCGATCTCAGTGCCACCAACCTGTCCCAGTGCTGTCACAATCCTCCCATCCCAGGCCCCCAATCCCTTTTCTCTCTCCCTTTCCCCCGTCAGTGTGTCCCTGTCCCACCGGGGTCAGTGTCCCTGTCCCCTCCCCGTGTGTCCCTGTCCCTGTCCCCCTGTCCCTGTCCTGGTGTCACTGTGGCTGACACTCCCCTGTGTGTCACTGTTCCTGTCTGTGTGTCCCTGTCCCACCAGGGTCAGTGTCCCTGTCCCCTCCCCGTGTGTCCCTGTCCCTGTCCCCATGTCCCTGTCCTGGTGTCACTGTGGCTGACGCTCCCCTGTGTGTCACTGTCCCTGTCCCTGTCACTGTCCCCGTGTCCCCAGGTACCAGCAGGAGTTTGGTTTCACCATCCCAGGCTGTGTGTCCCTGTCCTTGTGTCCCTGTCCTTGTGTCCCTGTCCTTGTGTCACTGTCCCCGTGTCACTGTCCCCCTGTCCCCTCTCAGGTACCAGCAGGAGTTTGGTTTCACCATCCCAGGCTGGGCTGTGTGTCCCTGTCTGTGTGTCCCTGTCTGTGTGTCCCTGTCCCCAGGGTGTCACTGTCTGGGTGTCCCCATGTCCCTGTCACTGTCCCCATGTCCCCAGGTACCAGCAGGAGTTTGGTTTCACCATCCTGGGCTGTGTGTCCCTGTCCCTGTGTCACTGTCCCCGGGGTGTCCCTGTCCCTGTCCCCATGTCCCCATGTCCCCATGTCCCCATGTCCTCTCTCAGGTACCAGCAGGAGTTTGGTTTCACCATCCCGGGCCGGGCTGTGTGTCCCTGTCTGTGTGTCCCTGTCCCCGGGGTGTCACTGTCTGGGTGTCCCCATGTCCCCATGTCCCCATGTCCCCTCTCAGGTACCAGCAGGAGTTTGGTTTCACCATCCCGGGCTGGGCTGTGTGTCCCTGTCTGTGTGTCCCTGTCCCCGGGGTGTCCCTGTCCCTGTGTCCCTGTCACTGTCCCCATGTCCCCATGTCCCCATGTCCCTCTCTCAGGTACCAGCAGGAGTTTGGTTTCACCATCCCGGGCCGGGCCGTGCTCGTGGATGATTTGCGGGTCAGGGGCACCGGCAGCACCGACCCCGTGCCCGAGCCCCCCCTGGCGCCCCGCGGGACCCCCCCGAGAGTGGAGACGGTGAGGGGGGGCTGGGGGGGGCACCGGGAATGGGGGGCACCGGGAACGGGGGGCACCGGGAACGGGGGGTACCCGGGATGGGGGGCACAGGGAGTGGGGGGTACCCGGGATGGGGGGGGGGGCACCGACCCCGTGCCCGAGCCCCCCCCCCCCAAGTGCAGATGGTGAAGGGGGGGCTGGGGGGGGCACTGGGGGGAGCTCGGGTCTGGGGGTGACCCCAAGGTGACCCCAAGGTGACCCCAGGGCTGACCCAAAGTGACCCCAGGGGTGACCCAGTGCTACTTTGAGGCGGGGTACCAGGACACCCCTGCGTGACCCAGGGCTGACCCCAGGTGTTCCCCAGTGTCCCCCCCGCCCCCAGGTGACTCAGGGGTGACCCCAGGTGTGTCCCCAATGTCCCCCCCAGGTGACCCGGTGCTATTTCGAGGGGGGGTACCAGGACACCCCCGTGTTCCTGCTGGGGGAGCTGGGCTCGGACCACGCCCTGCCTGGGCCGGCCATCATCATCGACACCAACAGGTGACACACGGACACATGGACACACGGACACACGGACACATGGACACACGGACACACAGACACACAGACACACGGACAGGGATGGGACAGGGACAGGGGGACACAGGGACAGGGACAGGGACCACACCCTGCCCAGGCCGGCCATTGTCATCGACACCAACAGGTGACACACAGACACATGGACACATGGACACACGGACACACGGACACACGGACACACGGACAGGGATGGGACAGGGACAGGGGGACACAGGGACAGGGACAGGGACCACACCCTGCCCGGGCCGGCCATCATCATCGACACCAACAGGTGACACACGGACACACGGACACGCGGACACACGGACAGGGATGGGACAGGGGGACAGGGGACAGGGACAGGGGGACACAGGGACAGGGGGACAATGGGGACACAGGGACAGGAACCACGCCCTGCCCGGGCCGGCCATCATCATCGACACCAACAGGTGACACACGGACACACGGACACACGGACACATGGACACACGGACACACAGACACACGGACAGGGGTGGGACAGGGACAGGGGGACATTGGGGACAATGGGGACACAGAGACAGGGACCACGCCCTGCCCGGGCCGGCCATCATCATCGACACCAACAGGTGACACACGGACACACGGACACACAGACAGGGGACAGGGACAGGGATGGGACATTGGGGACACAGGGACAGGGACCATGCCCTGGCCTGACTGGCCATGGTCATCGACACCAACAGGTGACACACGGACAGGGGCACACACAGACACATGGACACACGGACAGGGATGGGACAGGGACAGGGATGGGACAGGGGGGACCCTGAGGACAGGGGGACAGGTGGGGACAGTGGGGGGACATGGCAGGGGGGACGGGGACAGGTGGACCCAGGCATGGGGTGGGGGGGGACACTCAGAGGGGTTTAGGGGACCCCGAGGTGACCCCTGGGGACCCCAAGGAGCTGTGGGGGACACGGGGACCCCTGGGCTGGGGTGGCACCCCTGGAGGGATTTGAGGAAACCCCGAGGTGACCCCTGGATGACCCATGGGACCCCGGGGGGATTTGGGGCACCCCGGGGGGATTTGGGGCACCCCGGGGGGATTTGGGGGGACCCCGAGGTGACCCGCGTGCCCCCCCAGCACGATCGTGGTGGAGCCGGGCTGCGTGGCCCGTGTCACCGCCCTCGGGGACATCAGCATCGAGGTGACGGCGGGGGCCGGCGCCCGCCCTGGGCGCGGGGCTGGAGCCGGTGGCGCTGTCGGTGTTCTCGCACCGCTTCATGAGCATCGCGGGTGGGTCCTGGGGGGATTTTGGGGGGATTTGGGGGGATTTGGGGGGCTCTGGGGGGTCCTGAGGGGTCTCTTGGGCTTCATGAGCATCGCGGGTGCGCCTGGGGGGGATTTTGGGGGGATTCGGGGGGCTCTGGGGGGCTCTGGGAGGTCCTGAGGGGTCTCTTGGGGCTTCATGAGAATTGCGGGTGCGTTCGGGGGGGATCTGGGGGGGATTTGGGGGGCTCTGGGGGGTCCTGAGAGGTCTCTTGGGGGTCTCTTGGGTTTCATGAGCATCACGGGTGGGACTTTGGGGGGTCCTGAGGGGTGTCCTGGGGCTTCATGAGCATCACAGGTGGGTCCTGGGGGGATTTGGGGGGGATTTGGGGGGATTTGGGAGGTCCTGAGGGGTCTCTTGGGCTTCATGAGCATCGCGGGTGGGACTTTGAGGGGCTTTAGGGGGGATTTGGGGGGTCCTGAGGGGTCTCTTGGGGCTTCATGAGCATCACGGGTGGGTCCTGGGGGGATCTGGGGGGCATTTGGGGGGCTCTGGGGGTCCTGAGGGGTCTCTTGGGGCTTCATGAGCATTGCAGGTGGGACTTTGGGGGGATTTGGGGGCTCCTGAGGGGTCTCTTGGGGCTTCATCAGCATCACGGGTGAGACTCTGGGGGGGATTTGGGGGGTCCTGAGGGGTCTCTTGGGCTTCATGAGCATCGCGGGTGCATCCGGGGGGGATTTGGGGGGCTCTGGGGGGGCTTTGGGGGGCTTTGGGGGGTCCTGAGGGGTCTCTTGGGGGTCTCCTGGGGCTTCATGAGCATCACGGGTGCGTCTGGGGGGGATCTGGGGGGGATTTAGGGGGTCCTGAGGGGTCTCTTGGGGCTTCATCAGCATCGCTGGGGGGCTTTGAGGGGATTTGGGGGGGAGTTGGGGGGGCTTTGGGGTGTTCTGGGTGGTCCTGGAGTGGCCTTGGGGGTCTCTGGAGTGGTCCCTGGGGGTCCCCCTGGGGTGTCCCCATTTTTGGGGTGTCCCTGAGGGTCCCCAAAGACAGGGACCCCTCAATTCAATCTCACCCCTCAAGGCAGACCCAGGGAAGGGGGTCCCAGGGTGGTCCCGGGGTGGTCCCGGGGGTCTCTGGGGTGGTCCCAGGGTGGTTCCTTGGGGGGTCCCCAGCCCTGCCCGGTTTTTAGGGTGTCCCTGGGGGTGCCCACGATCACATTCCCCCCCCATTCCCTCATCTCCCAATTCATCCCCCCAGCTCCCCAAGGCAGATCCAGCACGGGGGGTCCCCGGGGGGATCCCGGGGGTCTCTGGGGTGGTTCCAGGGTGGTCCCTGGGGGGTCCCCGGCCCTGTCCCGTTTTTGGGGTCCCCTTGAGGATGCCGTGGCCCCACAGGGACCCCTCAATTCAGTCTCATCCCTCCAGGCAGATCCAGAGCTGGGGGTCCCGGGGTGGTCCCAGGGTGGTCCCAGGGTGGTCCCGGGGGTCTCTGTGTTTGTCCCCGGGGGTCCCCCCGGGTTTTGGGGTCCCCGCTGAGGCTCCTGTGTCCCCGCAGAGCAGATGGGGCGCACGCTGCAGCGCACGGCCATCTCCACCAACATCAAGGAGCGCCTGGACTTCTCCTGCGCCCTGTTCGGGCCCGACGGGGGGCTCGTGTCCAACGCCCCCCACATCCCCGTGCACCTGGGCGCCATGCAGGAGGCCGTGCAGTTCCAGGTGAGGGGATTTGGGGGTGATTCGGGGGGATTTGGGGGGTCCCGGGTGTGTTTGGGGGTCTCCTGGACCATGCAGGAGCTGTGTGGTTCCAGGTGAGGGGATCTGGGGGGGATTCAGGGGGATTTGGGGGGTCCCAGGGGGGTTTGAAGGGGATTTGGGGTGTCCCAGGTGTGCTCAGGTTGGTCCCAGGGGGATTTGGGTGTCCCAGGGGGGATTTGAGGGGGATTTGGGGGGTCCCAGGTGTGCTCAGGTGAGCCCCAGGGGGATTTCAAGGGGTTCTGAGTGGATTTGGGGGCGATTTGGGGGGTCCCAGGGGTGTTTGGGGGTCCCCTGGGTCATGCAGGAGCCGTGCAGTTCCAGGTGAGGGGATCTGGGGGGGATTTGGGGGGTTTGGGGGTGTCCCAGGTGGGCCCCAGCGGGATTTGAAGGGGTTCTGAGTGGATTTGGGGGGGTCCCGGGTGTGTTTGGGGGTCCTCTGGGCCTTGCAGGAGCCGTGCAGTTCCAGGTGAGGCCATTTGGGGGGGATTTTGGGGGATTTGGGAGCAATTTGGGGGGATTTGGGTGTCCCAGGTGTGTTTGGGGGTCCCCTGGGTCATGCAGGAGCTGTGCAGCTCCAGGTGAGGGGATTTGGGGGTGATTCGGGGGGATTTGGGGGGTTTGGGGGTCCCAGGGCCATGCAGGAGCCGTGCAGTTCCAGGTCAGGCATCTGGGGGAGATTTGGGGGGTCCTGGGGGGATTTGGGGGGTCCCAGGGGGTCTCAGGGCCATGCAGGAGCCGTGCAGTTCCAGGTGAGGCCATTTGGGGGGGATTTGGGGAGTCCTGGGGGGATTTGGGGGGTCCCAGGTGTGTTTGGGGGTCCCCTGGGCCATGCAGGAGCCATGCAGTTCCAGGTGAGGGAATTTGGGGGGGATTTGGGGGGATTTGGGAGCGATTTGGGGGGATTTGGGTGTCCCGGGTGTGTTTGGGGGTCCCAGGGCCATGCAGGACCCGTGCGGTTCCAGGTGAGTGGATTTGGGGGGGTCCTAGGGGGCTTTGAGGGCGATTTGGGGGGTCCCAGGTGTGCTCAGGTGGGTCCCAGGGGGATTTGAGGGGTCCCGAGTGGATTTGGGGGCGATTTGGGGGGTCCCAGGTGTGTTTGGGGGTCCCAGGGCCATGAAGGATCCGTGCAGTTCCAGGTGAGGGGATTTGGGGGGGATTTGGGGGGTTTGGGGGTGTCCCAGGTGGGCCCCAGCGGGATTTGAAGGGGTTCTGAGTGGATTTGGGGGGTCCCGGGTGTGTTTGGGGGTCCTCTGGGCCTTGCAGGAGCCGTGCAGTTCCAGGTGAGGCCATTTGGGGGGGATTTTGGGGGATTTGGGAGCAATTTGGGGGGATTTGGGTGTCCCAGGTGTGTTTGGGGGTCCCCTGGGTCATGCAGGAGCTGTGCAGCTCCAGGTGAGGGGATTTGGGGGTGATTCGGGGGGATTTGGGGGGTTTGGGGGTCCCAGGGCCATGCAGGAGCCGTGCAGTTCCAGGTGAGGCATCTGGGGGAGATTTGGGGGGTCCTGGGGGGATTTGGGGGGTCCCAGGGGGTCTCAGGGCCATGCAGGAGCCGTGCAGTTCCAGGTGAGGCCATTTGGGGGGGATTTGGGGGGATTTGGGGGGTTTGGGGGTCCCAGGGCCATGCAGGAGGCCGTGCAGTTCCAGGTGAGGCCATCTGGGGGGATTTTGGGGGGTTTGGGGGGGTCCTGGGGGGGTTTGAGGCGGATTTGGGGGAATCTGGGGTGTCCCAGGTGTGCTTAGGTTGGTCCCAGGGGGATTTGAGGGGGTCCTGGGTGGATTTGGGGGCGATTTGGGTGGGTTTGGGGAGGGTTTGGGGGGGTCCCAGGGCCATGCAGGAGCTGTGCAGTTCCAGGTGAGGGAATCTGGGGGGATTTTGGGGGGTTTGAGGGGTCCCAGGGGGGTTTGAGGGCAATTTGGGGGGGATTTGGGGTGTCCCAGGTGTGCTCAGGTTGGTCCCAGGGGGATTTGAGGGGGTCCTGAGTGGATTTGGGGGCGATTTGGATGGGTTTGGGGAGGGTTTGGGGGGATTTGGGTGGGTTTGGGGAGGGTTTGGGGGGTCCCAGGGCCATGCAGGAGCCGTGAAGTTCCAGGTGAGGCCATTTGGGGGGAATTTGGGGGGGTCCTGGGTGGATTTTGGGGAGATTTGGGGGGCGTCCCAGAGGGGGAATTTGGGGTCGTGGGGGGTCTGGGGGGTTCCTGGGGGAGATTTGGGGGGAATTTGGGATCCTGGGGTGTCCTGGAGGGGATTTGGGGGTTTCAGGAGGTGATTTGTGAGGATTTTGGGGATCCCAGAGGGAATTTGGGGTGATCTGGGGAGGATTTGGGGTCTTGGAGGGGCTTTGGGGTGATTTGAGAGGATTTGGGGTCTTGGAGGGGCTTTGGGGTCCTGGAAGGGGTTTGGGAGCTCTGGAGAGGATTTGGGGGTTCCGGGGAGGGGAATTTGGGGGAAATTTTGGGGTTCTGGGAGAGGATTTGGGATCCTGGGTGTATTTGGGGAGATTTGGGAATTTCTGGGGGGGATTTGGGGATCCTGGGGAGATTTTGGGGTTCCCGGGGTGGGTTTGGGGTTCACCCCCCCCATCCCCCCCCAGATCCGTAACCTGGGCCCGGAGCTGAGGGAAGGAGACGTGATCCTGAGCAACCACCCCCGGGCGGGGGGCAGCCACCTGCCCGACCTGACCGTCATCACACCTGTGAGTGACACCTGGGGACACACCTGGGAGTGACACACCTGGGACACACCTGGGACAGGTGACATCACACCTGTGAGTGACACACCTGGGGACACACCCAGGGACACACCTGGGGACACCACCTGGGACAGGTGACACCACACCTGTGAGTGACACACCTGGAACAGGGACACACCTGGGACAGACCTGGGACACACCTGGGACACACCTGGGACAGGGACACACCTGGGAGTGACACACCTGGGACAGGTGACATCACACCTGGAGTGACACACCTGGGGACACACCTGGGGACACACCTAGGACAGGGACACACCTGGGAGTGACACACCTGGGGACACCTGGGGACACACCTGGGACACACCTGGGACAGGGACACACCTGGGACAGGTGACATCATGCCTGGGACAGGTGACATCACACCTGGGAGTGACACACCTGGGGACAGCTGGGACACACCTGTGACACACCTGTGACACCTGGGGACATATCTGGGGACACCCGTGACACACCTGGGGGCACCTGGGATACACCTGGGAAACACCTGGGACACACCTGGGGACACCTGTCTGTCCCCACCCAGGTGTCCAGGTCGGGTGTCCTCAGGGTTTTCAGCCCCCCCCGCCAATGTCACCTGTCCCCAGGTGTGCAACCCAGTGTCACCTGTGTAAACCCAGTGTCACCTGTGTAACCCCTCAATGTCACCTGTGCCCAGGTGTTCTGGCCAGGTGTGCCCCGCCCCGTGTTCTTTATGGCCAGCCAGGGTCACCACACCTGACCCCAATGTCACCGTTACCTGTCCCATGTCCCTGACCCAGTGTCACCTCTCTGATCCCAATGTCACCTGTGTAACCCCTCAATGTCACCTGTGCCCAGGTGTTCTGGCCAGGTGTGCCCCGCCCTGTGTTCTTTGTGGCCAGCCATGGTCACCACACCTGACCCAGTGTCACCTGTCCCATGTCCCTAAGCCCAGTGTCACCTGTCCCAGGTGTCCTGTCCCATGTCCCTGACCCAGTGTCACCTGTGTAACCCCAGTGTCACCTGTCCCAGGTGTATAACCCCAATGTCACCGTTACCTGTCCCATGTCCCTGACCCCAGTGTCACCTATCTAACTCCAGTGTCACCTGTCCCAGCTGTCTGACCCCAGTGTCACCTGTGTGTTCTGGCCAGGTGTGCCCCGCCCCGTGTTCTTCGTGGCCAGCTGTGGTCACCACGCCTGACCCAGTGTCACCTGTCCCATGTCCCTAACCCAATGTCACCTGTGTAACCCCAGTGTCACCTGTCCCATGTCCCTGACCCCAGTGTCACCTGTGTAACCCCAGTGTCACCTGTCCCATGTCCCTGACCCAGTGTCACCTGTGTAACCCCAGTGTCACCTGTCCCACGTGTATAACCCCAATGTCACCATTACCTGTCCCATGTCGCTGACCCCTGTGTCACTGTCACCCTTACCCGTGCCCAGGTGTTCTGGCCAGGTGTGCCCCGCCCCGTGTTCTTCGTGGCCAGCCAGGGTCACCACACCTGACCCAGTGTCACCTGTCCCATGTCCCTGACCCCAGTGTCACTGTCACCCTTACCTGTCCAGGTGTTCTGGCCAGGTGTGCCCCGCCCCGTGTTCTTCGTGGCCAGCCGTGGTCACCACGCTGACGTGGGTGGCTCCAGCCCCGGGTCGATGCCGCCGCACTCGCAGAGCCTGGCCCAGGAGGGCGCCGCCTTCGTGTCCTTCAAACTGGTGACCAACGGGGAGTTCCAGGAGCAAGGTGGGACACTGGGGGGACTGGGGACACTGAGGGGACATTGGGGACATTGGGGACATTGGGGACATTGGGGGGACATTGGGGACAGCCAGGGGATTGGGGACACTGGGGACAAAGGTGTTCCTGTCCTTCAAACTGGTGACCAACGGGGAGTTCCAGGAGCAAGGTGGGACATGGGGACACTGGGGGGACATTGGGAGACATTGGGAGACATTGGGGACATTGGGGACATTGGGGTTATTGGGGACATTGGGGACACTGAGGGGACACTGGGGGGATTGGGGACAGTGGGGACATTGGGGACAGCCAGGGGACTGGGGACATCTCTGGGGATTGGGGACACTGAGGGGACATTGGGGACATCCCCTCTGTGTCCCCGGCTGTCACCCAGGCCCTGCTGGCCCCTGTCCCTGTCCCTGCTCCCAGGCGTGTCACTGTCACTGTCACTGTCACTTTCCCTGTCATTGTCCTGTCATTGTCATTGTCCTCTCATTGTCCTTGTCCCCATCTGTCACCGAGGCCTTGCTGGCTCTGTCCCTGTCCCTGTCCCCATGGGGTGTCACTGTCCCTGTCCCTGTCACTGTCCCCTCATTGTCCTTGTCCCCATCTGTCACCAAAAGCCCTGCTGGCCCCTGGGCTGGCTGTCCCTATCCCTGTCCCCTCATTGTCACTGTCCCTGTCCCCAGCTGTCACCGAGGCGCTGCTGGCCCCTGTCACTGTCCCTGTCCCTGTCTCCAGGGGTGTCACTGTCACTGTCACTGTCCCTGTCCTTGTCCCCAGCTGTCACCGAGACCCTGCTCGCCCGTCACTGTCACTGTCATTGTCCCCTCATTGTCCCTGTCCTTGTCCCCATCTGTCACCAAGGCCCTGCTGACCCCTGGCTCTGTCCTTAGGAGGTGTCCCTGTCCCCAGTGGGTGTCACTGTCATTGTCACTGTCCCTGTCCTTGTCCCCATCTGTCACCGAGGCGCTGCTGGCCCCTGTCCCTGTCACTGTCACTGTCCCTGTCCCCAGCTGTCACCGAGGCGCTGCTGGCCCCTGTCCCTGTCCCCAATGGGTGTCACTGTCACTGTTCCTGTCCCAGGGGGTGTCACTGTCACTGTCCCCTCATTGTCCCTGTCCCTGTCCCCAGCTGTCACCGAGGCGCTGCTGGCCCCCGGCTCGGTCCCCGGCTGCTCGGGGACGCGGAACCTGCGGGACAACCTGGCCGACCTGCGGGCACAGGTGGCGGCCAACCAGAAAGGGATCGGGCTGGTGCGGGAGCTGATCGGGCAGCACGGGCTGCAGGTGGTGCAGGCCTACATGGGGCACGTGCAGGTGAGGCCCCAAAAACGCCCCCAAAATCACCCCAAAAGAACCCCAAACATCAGAAACGTCAAAAACCCCAAATCTGCCCCAAAAACCCCCAATCCCCCGTGCCGGGAGCTGATCGGGCAGCACAGGCTGGGGGCGGTGCAGGCCTCTATGGGATATGTGCAGGTGAGACCCTAAAAATACCCTAAATACCCTAAAATCACCCCAAAACCCCTAAACGCATCAAAAATCCCAAATCCGCCCCCAAAACCCCCAATACCCGTGCCTGGAGCTGATTGGGCAGCACGGGCTGGGGCGGTGCAGGCCTACATGGGGCACGTGCAGGTGAGACCCTAAAAATACCCTAAATACCCTAAAATCACCCAAAACCATCAAACCCCATGAAAATCCCCAAAACCCCAAAAATGCCCCCCAAATCTGCCCAAAAACCCCCAATCCCCCGTGCCGGGAGCTGATTGGGCAGCACGGGCTGGGGGCGATGCAGGCCTCTATGGGATATGTGCAGGTGAGACCCTAAAAATACCCTAAATGCACCCCAAAAACCCTAAAACCCCCAAAAACCCCAAAACCCCAAATCCCCCCCCCTGCAATAGCCCAAAAACCCCCAAATCCCCAAAACCACCAGAAAAACCCCAAACCCACCCAAAACCCCCAAAACCACCCCTAAAACCCCAAACACAACCCTAAAACAGCTGAGACCCCAAAAAACCTCAAAACCGCCCCAAGAACCCCCCAAACCCCCTTGCGTGACCCCTGTGTGACCCCCGTGTGACCCCCGTGTGACCCTGTGACCCCGTGTGACCCCGTGTGACCCCAGGCCAACGCGGAGGTGGCCGTCAGGGACACGCTGCGGGCGGTGGCTCATTGGGGACACCTCGTGACCCCTGTGTGACCCCTGTGTGACCCCTGTGTGACCCTGTGACCCCGTGTGACCCCAGGCCAACGCGGAGGTGGCCGTCAGGGACACTCTGAGGGCGGTGGCCGCGCGCTGGGGGACGTCGCTGTCGGCCGAGGACACCATGGACGATGGCACCCCCCGTGCGGCTTGAGGGTGACACTGGAGCCCAGAGAGGTGCGGGGACAGCTCGGGGACAGCCCTGGGGACACCTTGGGGACACCTTGGGGACACCTTGGGGACATGGACACATGGACATGGGGACAGCCCTGCAGATATGGGGCCACCAGGGGGGCATGGGGACATGGACATGGGGACAGCCTGGGGACATGGACGTAGCCTGGGGACACCATGGGGACACCATGGGGACAGCTTGGGGACAGCTTGGGGACAAGGAGACATGGACATGGGGACAGCTTTGGGACAGCCCTGGGGACACCTTGGGGACATGGAGACATGGACATGGGGACAGCCCTGCAGATATGGGGACACCAGGGGGGCATGGGGACATGGACATGGGGACAGCCTGGGGACATGGATGTAGCCTGGGGACACCATGGGGACACCTTGGGGACACCTTGGGGACACCTTGGGGACATGGGGACATGGACATGGGGACAGCCCTGCAGATATGGGGACACCAGGGGGACATGGGGACATGGACATGGGGACACCTTGGGGACATGGGGACATGGACATGGGGACAGCCCTGCAGATATGGGGACACCTTGGGGACAGCCTGGGACATGGACGTAGCCTGGGGACACCACAGGGACACCACGGGGACAGCTTGGGGACAGCCTGGGGACATGGGGACATGGGACATGGACATGGGGACAGCTTGGGGACAGCCCTAGGGACATGGGGACACCAGGGGGCATGGGGACAGCCTCAGGACATGGACATGGCCTGGGGGACACCACTGGGACACCATGGGGACAGCTTGGGGACATGGAGACACCATGGGGACAGCCTGGGGACAGCTCGGGGACAACCCTGCGGACATGGGGACACCAGGGGGACATGGGGACAGCCTCAGGACATGGACATGGCCTGGGGACACCACACGGACACCATGGGGACAGCTTGGGGACACCTTGGGGACATGGGGACATGGACATGGGGACAGCTTGGGGACAGCCCTGGAGACATGGGGACAGTTTGGGGACATGGGGACAGCATGGGAACAGCTTGGGGACAGCTTTGGGAGAGTCCTGGGGACATGGGGACACCCTGGGGACATGGGGACATGGACATGGGGACAGCCTGGGGACATGGACATAGCCTGGGGACACCTTGGGGACACCTTGGGGACAGTCCTGGGGTTTGTGGGGACACAGGGATGTCCCCAAACTCTGGGGACCCTGATCCAGCTGGGTCCCCACAAGGCTCTGGGTGGGTTTTGGGGTCACCCCCGGGTTTTGGGGTCAGGCCAGGTTTTAGGATGGATTTTTGGGTCCCTCCTGGATTTTGGGCTCACCCCTGGATTTTGGGGTCCCCCCCTGGGTTTTGGGGGTCACCCTCTGGTCTCTGGATGGGGTTTTCGGGTCACCCCCGGGTTTTGGGGTCCCCCCAGGCTCTGAGTGGGTTTTTGGGGTCCCCGCACGGTGTGGATGGGTTTCGGGGTCATCCCCGGGTTTTGGGGTCCCCCCGGGCTCTGCGTGAGGTTTTGGGGGTCATCCCCGGGTTTTGGGGTCCCCCCGGGCTCTGCGTGAGGTTTTGGGGTTCCCCCCTGGTTTTCTGGGGGGGTTTGGGGTAGGTTTTGGGGTCCCCCCAGTCTTTGGGTGGGTTTTGAGGTCCCCCCGGGCCCTGGATGGTTTTGGGGTTGCCCTGGTCTCTGGGTGTATTTTTGGGGTCACCCCGGTTTCCGGATGGGTTTTTGGGGTCACCCCCCGGGTTTTGGGGTCCCCCAGGTCTCTAGATGGGTTTTTGGGGTCCCCCCAGGCTCTGGATGCATTTTTGGAGTCACTCCAAGCTCTGGGTGCATTTTTGGGGTCCCCCCCGTCTCTGGTTGGGTTTTGGGGTCCAACGCCCCCCGTTCCCCCCCCCAGGGCAGCGCCGTGTTCGATTTCGGGGGGACGGGACCCCAAGTTCTGGGGAACTGCAACGCCCCCCGCGCCATCACCCTGTCAGCGCTGATCTACTGCCTGCGGTGCCTGGTGGGGCACGACATCCCCCTCAACCAGGTGAGACCCCAAAATACCCCAAAAATACACCCCAAAAACAGCCTGGGCACCCCAAAAACCCCAAACACACCCCAGAAACCCCAAAACCCCAAACACACCCCAAACCCCCCTGTCAGTGCTGATCTACTGCCTGCGGTGCCTGGTGGGACATGATATACCCCTGAACCAGGTGAGACCCCAAAAATACCCCAAATACACCCTAAATACACCCCAAATACACCCCAAATACACCCCAAAACAGCCTGAGCACCCCAAAAAAACCAAACACACCCCCAAAAACCCAAACCCCCCTGTCAGCCCTGATCTACTGCCTGCGGTGCCTGGTGGGGCACGACATCCCCCTCAACCAGGTGAGACCCCAAAAATACCCCAAAAACAGCCCGGGCACCCCAAAAACCCCAAAACACACCCCAGAAACCCCAAACCCCCCCTGTCAGCGCTGATCTACTGCCTGCGGTGCCTGGTGGGACATGACATCCCCCTCAACCAGGTGAGACCCCAAAATACCCCAAAAACAGCCCGGGCACCCCAAAAACCCCAAACACACCCCAGAAACCCCAAACCCCCCTGTCAGCGCTGATCTACTGCCTGCGGTGCCTGGTGGGGCACGACATCCCCCTCAACCAGGTGAGACCCCAAAATACCCCAAAATACACCCCAAAAACAGCCTGGGAACCCCAAAAACCCCAAACACACCCCAGAAACCCCAAAACACCAAACACACCCCAAACCCCCCTGTCAGCCCTGATCTACTGCCTGCGGTGCCTGGTGGGACATGACATCCCCCTGAACCAGGTGAGACCCCAAAAATACCCAAAAATGCCCCAAATACACCCCAAAACCAGCCTGAACCAGGTGAGACCCCAAAAATACCCCAAATACACCCCAAAAACAGCCCGGGCACCCCAAAAAACCCAAACGCACCCCAAACACACCCCAAACCCCCCTGTCAGCGCTGATCTACTGCCTGCGGTGCCTGGTGGGGCACGATATACACCTGAACC